CATCCATTTAGGGATTTCAGTGAAGGTGTGGCCTTTCAGCTACTTTTAATAACTACCAAGGTATGTGGGTGCTGGATGGTTGGAGGTGTGTTTGATTTTTGTTTTAAGAGCCCACCAAGTTCTTCTACATGTCTGAGCCATCCTGTGTTCCCAGAAGCAGTGAGAGTTCCCATTACTGCTTCCTTCCCAACATCTGCTGCTGGCATTTTGATGTGGGCCCGTTTTACAAGTAACAGATACACCCTCTCATTCATATTCTCGTATTCTCTCTGTCTCTCTGTCTCTGTCTCTGTCTCTGTCTCTCTCTCTCTCTCTCTCTGCACACAGCACAAATTGTCCTCAACCTCAAGATCCCCCTCCTGCATAGCAGAGATCACAGATGTGCCCCACCCCTGCCTGTGACTTCAGTTTTCCCGAGTTTACACTGTGGGTATCGTTTGACATCTGGGTGTCTTCTTTGGCAAAGGGTCTATCCACTCTCTTGCCAGTTTTGAGTTAGGTTGGTTCAGGGTTTATTTGAAGGGTCCTTTGCAGTGTACACAGTGGGGATATGGGGAGCAGATATGCCACCCCCACCCCCACCCCACCCTCAGGGTTCTGATGCCCTGTTGACTCCTGGTGTCCCTTCTGTTATTTGCTTTTCTGATGGTGAAAAACACCTGAACAAAACAACTTACGGAAAGAAGGCGTTATTGGTTGGTTTTAGCTCAGGATTGGAGGACACAGTCCATCATGGCAGGGACGTCATGGCGACGGGGTGTAAGGAGGCTCACTGAGGCCTCAGTCAGGAAGCAGAGAGTGATGCTCAGGAACTCGGGTCACTTCCTCTTTGTTATTCAACCCAAGACTCCAGCCACACTTATGGAGGCTCCGCCCTCCTCAGTTGCCCCTCCCTGGAGACTCCCTCGCTGACATGCCCAGCAGCGTGTCCCCCAGGTGATCCAAATCCTGTCAGGTTGACACTCAGCCACCACAGTGTGGAGGCAGCAGAGGCCCTGCGATGGGAGAAGCCGTGGACACCTGTGCCCAGAAAGGCCTCGGGTCAGTTACCCAAGCAACAAAATCCAGCATCACAGAAACAGAGCAGGGTATCACAGTGCTGCAGTCCTTCAGCGTGCCTAGAATCCAGGTGCCAAAGCTTGGTCCCCAGCCTGTGGTGTTGTCGGGAGATGGTGATGTCTGGAAGAGGTGGGGCCTAATGGGAGGAAGTGAGGTCACTGGACATGCTGGTTACTGTGGTGATGTATTGTTTATGGTTTATTAAAGCCACTGGAGATCAAGATAGCAAGGCAGCCATACTAGTTAGCCATAGAAGCCAGGCACACACCTTTAATCCCAGGACTCAGGATTAAGAGGTAGGTGGATCTCTGAGTCCAAGACCGCCCTGGGCTACCGGAGAGAGAATCAGAGCTCACTCCTTTAATCTCAGGACTTGAGAGCTATAAAAAAGGTCGAGGCGTTCTGTCTCGGGATTAGTCTGTAGCCACGTTGAGGAGAACACAGCAGTCTGAGTGAGTATGAGGAGCAATGGAGTCGGGAGCCGAGTGAGGGTCACCCCTTTGGTCTGAGCTGAGGTAGAGGTGAGAGCTAGTGGCCGGCTGCTTTGCATCTCTGATCTTCAGCTTGAAGCTTGAACCCCAATATCTATCTCTGGATCTTTTATTAATCGTGCTACAGATTAGTTTTTTGTTTGTTTGTTTTTTTTTTTTTTCTTGTCAACTTGACACAGCTAGGGCTATCTGAGTAAAGAGAACTCAATCGAGACAAAAGCCTCCCCTGGATTCCTATAAACAAGTCTACGAACATGTTCTTGATTAATGATTGATGTGAGAGGGCCCAGCCCACTATACACAGCCCTGTCCCTGGGCAGGTGATCCTGGTGTTTTTAAGGAGGCAGACTTAGCATGCAATGGGAAACGAGCCAATAAGGGGTGTTATCCCATGGCCTCGGCTGTGGTCCCTGTCCTGACTTCCTTTGATGATGACTGTGATGTGGAAGGGTGGTAAGCCCTTTCTTCCCTGAGTTGCTTCTGGGCGTGGCTTTATCACAGCAACAGAAAGCACACTAAGACATCAGAGTTACTTTAAAAGAGGCATTGGTCATGGCTTTATCACAGCAACAGAAAGCACACTAAGACATCAGAGTGTGCTTTAAAAGAGACATTGGGACCTTTTGGCCTTCTTCTTCCTCTCCTGGTCACCACAAGTAAGCAGATTCCTGTCACATTCCCCACCATGGCATGCCACCTGACTCAGGCCTGAAGGCATCAGAGCCAAACAGCCACGTGGTGTGCAATGTCTTGAATGAGATGACTCCCGTGGGTTCCGGTAAGTGAACATTTGGTCCCCCTGTCTTGAATGAGATGACTCCCGTGGGTTCCGGTAAGTGAACATTTGGTCCCCAGGTGGTGGCCCTCTTTGAGGGGGGAAGAATGTCACTGGAGGCAGGCTTTGAGGGTTTGAGACTCACTCCTGACATACTCACTTTCTCTCTGCTGCACACTGGGATGCGAAATGTGAGCCCCCAGCTTGTTACCCCAGGGGCCACAGCTGCCTCTGAACCTGTCACTATCCCACCATGGTGGACTCTTATCCCTCTGGAAGCATAGGCACACAGAAACTCTTTCCCCTTATGTTGCCTTGGTCATGCTGTTTTATCACGGCAACGGAAAAATCACTAAGACACAGTGACACTTCCAAAACTAGGAGTCAAGTAAGCTTTCCTCTTAGAGACAGATTACCTCAGGCCTTCTCTCACAGTAACAGAAAGCTGATTAACATTGGGGCTAAGTGGGGCTTGTCTCTGGAATAAAACATTGGTTTAATATCTGAAAAATCAACTAATGTAATATACTGTATTGATATAATAAAGGCAAACATCACACGATCATATCAATGTATGCAGAAAAGGAGCTGGGATGGCCCAACATTTTCACAATAAAACCCCCCACAAGCCCAGGCAAGGGGACTTCCTTACTCTGATATCTGTTAGGAACCCACTACTGACATCACCATGTGCCATGCCATCTCCCTACCCTCCAGCAAGGCACAGGCATCCATTCAGCCCATCAATCCCAGCCACCACTGGGGGGGGGCAGATGTCCTCATATCCAAGCTAAGTCCATGAGTTGTAAACCGCATGCTTTGGAAACCAAGAAACTCATGTGAAAACCTTCTAAATGCATCAGGAATGGGTGTCCCCTGCTCATCTGGAGACTTTTCCAGTTTCTAGCAGAACCTGAGTAAACATTTTGCAGAAATCTCCAAGTTGGCTTTAAAATTAATATGTAATTGCAAGAGAGCCATAATCACCACAAGAAAAGAAAAAAGAACAAATATGGAAAGTTTACATACACTTCCCAGCAAAATTTTCCTATAAAGCAACATCGAGCCCTTCCATCGGTCCTGACCTATAAATAACCTTGTCATTGTCCAGGGTACTGACCTAGCTATACGCTCAGTAAACCTATGAGAGGGGAGGGGAGGGGCAGGAGAAGGGGAGGAGGAGAGGGAGGGAGAAAGCAAGGGAGTGAGCATCTTTTACCTTTAGGACACACACACAGGCAGAGCATCTGCACACCCCAGTGAGAGGCAGATCTCTCAGATCAGCATGGGGAGCGGACTGTGTTAAGAGACAGATGATGAGACTGGCCTCGTGGGTGCTAACCACACAGGCATGAGCCAAGAGTGGTAAGGCACACCTGGAACCCCACTACGTATGAGGAGGCAGGAGGACCAGGAGTTCCAGGTCATCCTCAGCTAAACAGTGAATTCCAGGCCAGCCTAGGCCACGTGAAACCTTGCTTCAAAAGAAGAAGAGTGTACAAAGAACGTAAACATGAAAAGGTTTTTTACCGGGACGCCTGTGCGGGAGAGAAGCAGGGGAGAGTCTCAGCTGGAAATGTCGAGCGCAGTACAGGAGCCCCACAGCCTGTTAGAACCACTGAGGGGCGGGAGCCAGTGTGGGGAGGGCATTCGCTCCCCTCACACTGTGTGTAGGACGCTCTGCAGACACAAGGCGGCTGGGCAGACAGGCCCACTAAACACACTCAACACAACGCTAACCATCAGAGGATGCTTCCCATCACACACACAAACAGCAAAGAGTGCTACCCTGTCGTACTACTGTGCAGTGCAGAGGGTCTACCTCCCAGGGATAGTGCAGCCTGAAGATAAACATTTCCCCACCGTGTGACCCAAGAAGGCTACACAGAGATTGACTCTAGGGCAAAGAAAACTCATTATCCCACGGAACACCAAACACAAACAACAGTGGCTGCCGCTTTACTCATGTCTGTAGTAAACAGGGGACAGTCAAAATATCCACCACTCACTGGACGGATACACTGTGGTAAGTCAATACAGTGGAATATCATAGAGCCAGAAAAAAGATGAACTTGGCACGCGACAGCTGGTTGAATGTTGGGGTCAGAGAATTATAAGCCACAGAGAATGGTTTACATGGGTGGGGAGGAAAAGGGAGTGGGTCTGGTGGCTGGCTGCTTGCTTGCCCCAGCCAAGTTAGAAGCTTCAACTGGCCCCTGCTGTCCTCTCGTTGTCCCTAGCTGTAACCCTACTTCCTGCAGGCAGGGGTCTCAGAGCCTCTTACATAAGCTCAGCCCACCCCTGTCCCCTGATGCCGTTCACCCTCAGTCATCCCAAAGCTGCAGCAGGCGGGAAGACTCGGTCTCGATGCATCTACCCTGCTGGGCTCAGGTTGACTGCTGGGCTGTCTGAAGGCTCTCGGGTGTCACTGTGCATCTGAGGCACAGGTTCCCAGCACTGATGGGCACAGCACACAGTGAAGTTTCACTTGCAGAGGGCACAGCCCCTGCACCCGTGGCACTTTCTGCACAGCTCTGCTTCTCTGTTGCTGCTCTGGAAAGCCTGTCTTCTAGAAGAATCTATCTCACCCTAGTTTTCCCCACCATCCCATTCTCTGCAGACCCGTGCCACGTTGAGAGGCACGGCACAGGGACACTTCTCTGCCAGGTGCGTGTAGCCAACCCTGCCCACTCACCTGGGCTGGAACTCAGGGCTACTCACTGCCTAGTGGAGCAGCCCGGGTGATGAGGCATGTGGCATGTGCACAAAGCCAGACCCAGCATGGGCAAGGCTCCACTAAGCACACAGCACCTTCAGGCCCTAACCAGTACCACGTGGAGCTCGGGAGGAGTGAGTCTCCTATGAATAAACAGATTAACAAGGGCTTTCAGGACGCAGCTTAAAACACCCACGAGGAAGGAAGGTTCTGGAGACTTCCGGCTGGAAACATACCCAGTCTGGTATAAAAGCTGACAGCATAGCACATCACAATACACATTGCCTCACTCACAAGCTCCTACCACCCAGCTCCCGCCATGGCCGCCTCCACCATGTCTGTCTGCTCTGACGCTTGCACCAACTCCTCCTGGCAGGTGGACAACTGCCCAGAGAGCTGCTGTGAGCCCAGCTGCTGTGTCCCCAGCTGCTGCCAGCCCAGCTGCTGTGCCCCAGCCCCCTGCCCAACCCTCATCTGCACCCCAGTGAGCTGTGTGTCCAGCGCCTGCTGCCAATCTGTCTGTAGCAGCTCCTGCACACCCTCATGCTGCCAGTCTAGCTGCCAGCCAGCTTGCTGCACCTGCTCCCCCTGCCAGCAGTCCTGCTGTGTGACCCTGTGCTGCAAGCCTGTCTGCTGCACACCCATCTGCTCTGGGTCCTCCTCATGCTGCCAGCAGTCTACCTGCCAGCCCTCATGCTGTCAGTCCTCCTGCTGTGTGCCTGTGTGCTGCAAGCCTGTCTGCTGCACACCCATCTGCTCTGGGTCCTCATGCTGCCAGCAGTCTAGCTGCCAGCCCTCATGCTGCACCTCCTCACCCTGTTCTGTGACTCTTTGCTGCAAGCCTGTCTGCTGCACACCCATCTGCTCCGGGTCCTCCTCATGCTGCCAGCAGTCTAGCTGCCAGCCCTCATGCTGCCAGCCATCCTGCTGTGTGCCTGTGTGCTGCAAGCCTGTGTGCTGCAAGCCCGTCTGCTGCAAGCCCTGCTCCAGCGTGTCCCTGCTCTGCCGCCCTGTGTGCAGACCCGCCTGCTGTGTGCCCACCTCCTCCTGCTGCTCCTCCTCCTGCCAGCCCAGCTGCTGCAAGCCCTGCTCCAGCGTGTCCCTGCTCTGCCGCCCTGTGTGCAGACCCGCCTGCTGTGTGCCCACCTCCTCCTGCTGCTCCTCCTCCTGCCAGCCCAGCTGCTGCAAGCCCTGCTCCAGCGTGTCCCTGCTCTGCCGCCCTGCCTGCTCCAGCCAGGCCTGCTGTGGCTTCTCCTCAGGCCAGAAGTCCAGCTGCTGATGGGTCTGTTCCTGGTGCCAGCTGACTCAGGTCCCTCCCTGTGGTCCCTCTCCGCCTCTCCAGTCTGCTCCTGACCTGGGATAGACAGTTCTCCAGGATGAAGCCTCCAACCTGTCCTTTGTGACTTGACCTCTCCTCCTGCTTCCCAGGAGGCCTGATGATCCTCAGGGTCACTGTCCCTGTCCCTGTCCCTGTCCCTCTGTTCTGGTTACCTGACCCTGATACAGCTTGTCAGCAGCCCATGGCTTCAATAAACTCTTCTAGCCACGTTGGTCTCCTCTCATGCTTCTGGAACATGCTGTTCAAGCAAGTGTCCATCTCCTCAGCCAGGAATGTTTCTAAGAGGGAAGAACTCAGTTTGGCAATTGACAAGGGATAGTAGCCACCTCCCTTGGGGGGGGGGGTCACAAGTTGTTTGAATGAAAAAGTGTCCCAAATAGGTGCATCTATTTGAAGACTTGGTCTCAGGTGGATGGTTCTGTTAAGGGAGTTGCAGGACTTTTAGAGGCTTGCTTGAGCATGTACGTTATTGGGGCAAGGCTTCAGGAGTTGATAGCTTTGTCCACTTTGAGTCTGTTTGAGTCCGTGCTCTCTGTTTTCTGCTTGTGGTTAGAGATGTGATCTCTGGCATCCTGTCCCACTTACCTGCTGCCATTAATCTCCCATCTTTGTGGACTCGCCCTCTGGAAATCTAAGCTGAAATAAACTCTTTCTTCATAAGTCATGGTGCTTATTCACAACAACAAACGTAACTTATACCAAACGGACAGGCTGGGCACTTGACAGCTCAAGACAGTGTGAGGCTGGTGTGTGTGTTGGGGGGCTGGGGGACTCCACCCTACAACCTCCACCCCATTCTCACCTCTCTATCCCTAGCTCCCCCTCAGCCTGCTGTGGATTCTGATCCCCTGGACATCACTGGGAGGGTTTTACCTTCTGTCACCTGTCAGTTTCCAAGCTCCACGCCATTTCCTGGAAGTCTCCAGGAAACAGACTCACTCTCTTCCACTGTGAGAGCCACAGGAGCAGAAAGAGCCCCCATTCCCAAAGGAACCTGAGCAAGTGTCCCACACTGTGACCGAGGCATACTGCACATTGAGCCTACTCTGAAGGGCACACAGGCCCTCCCCCTCTTTAGAACAGGCATGCAGGTACATGTGGGCAGAGCCTCGCTTAGGATAGTAGTATGTGCGCACACATCTGCACGCACACGGGCATTGAGCACACATCTGCACGCACATGGGCATTGTGCACACATCTGCATGCACACATCTGCACGCACACGGGCATTGTGCACACATCTGCACGCACACAGGCAATAGTAAGCGTGCACACATCTGCATGCACACAGCCAACTACTGTCAGAGCCAGCTTACCTTTCGGCTCATCAGACTGCCTACGTTTGGCTAAGGTCGGCTGGTGAGATGTGTAGATATAAATAACCCACAGTGGGGAGGGCGAGCTTGCTTTTGAGATCACAGACTTGTCACTCTGCTTTGCTGACCGTCGTAAAATGCACATAGCAAGAGAGCTTACTGTGTTCGCCTTGGTGAGCGCATCTTGGCCACGCTGAGTTCATTCACATTCCACCTAGCAAATCTCAGCTACCCTGTGAACTACTGGCCGCTACTCCGCAAGCCCCCACCCCACCCCAAACCCCTAGCAGTCCTGTTATTGTGTTTCCGTGAACCTGAGGCTTTGTGGAGCTCAGTAGATGGGTGCAGCACCTGTTCTTCTGGCCTGGATCGTTTTCCTCAGCGTGAGGCTCTCCTGGCTGCTTCATGAGGGAGCAGGTCGGGACCTGTTTCTCTCTGAAACAGGCTGAAACAGGCTGAAAACATTCTGTTGTGCACTAGGCTGCTTGCCCTGGCCTGGCTGGGGGGGGTGGGGATTGGGGTGGGGAGGTACACTGAATTTCCACCCAACAGTGCTACTTGGGTAGGGTGCCATCGGCTCCACCCACTTCCTGGCTAGCCCCACCTCCTCCTCTCAGTCCCACCCACTCTCCTGCTGGCCTCACCCTCTCTCCCCACCCCTCCCAGGCCCTGCTCTCCTCTCCCCTTCATTCTGCTTCACCCCATCGGCCTTGCCCATCCTTCTTGGTCCTTCCCTCCTCCCTTTCCTTCAGCTCTGGCCCTTCTCTCCACAGAAGAATGAATACCTGCTCTCCCTGCTGGCGGAGGAGAGGGACACGCTGCTGCTCAGCCTGAGGTACTCACCCACACAGCTGCACTTCCTGTTTCTCACGGAGGACTTGGCTGGTGCCTGGCAGACCCGTGTGTCCTTCAGGAGCCCCGGCCTCGTGGACAGCCAGTGGCACACGCTGATCTTGGCTGTGTCCCAAGGATCCTTTTCTCTCACTGTGGACTGTGGCCTCCCAATAGACATGTAGGTACCAGGATGTGCAGCCCAGTGAATGACCGAGCTGTGTGTCGCCTGAGCAACCCATTCCAGTGGCTGTTCCACCACTGTGCCGTGGGGGAGCGGGACGGGCATGGGTCCTGGGCAAATCCCCCTGCCCCAACCCTGCCAAATTCTTTCTTTTAAGATTTATTTATTTATTATGAATACAACACCCTGCCTCCATGTACACATCAGAAGAGGGCACCATATCTCATTACAGATGGTTGTGAGCCACCATGTGGTTGCTGGGAATTGAACTCAGAACCTCTGGAAGAGCAGTCAGTGCTCTTAACCTCTGAGCCATCTCTCCAGCCCCACCCCCTGCCAAATTCTTTACCTGGACTATGGAGAATGCTCCAGGTGCTGGCCCCTAAGGCAGGTAGGTCCCTGATAGTGCCTTGTGGAAGGCAGGTTTCCATTATCAAGCCAGGGATCATGGAGCAGCTACATAGCTCTATGAAATGGAGGGGCCCAATCAGGAGCCACAAATCACCTATTTGAAATGACTGTAGTCAAGGAAGATCTGAGGCCCTTTGGCTCAGCAAAATGCAGGCCAGCACCAAGGCTTCAGGCTGAGCTCAGAGATCAGGTGCCAAGCACAGAGTGGAAGTGGCTATGGGTTTAGGGCTAGCTGCCTGGTACCCCTGGCCAGGAGCTTGGTGCACTGCAGCAGATGGTTAAGGCTGGAGGAAGCAGGAGCTGTAGGAGAGGACAGTATGTCATGGCACACTCTACCTCACGCAGAGGCTCTGGCCACATCCCCCCGGCCCCCACTTGGCCTGCTATGTTTCATCTCTTCTTCAGTGAGTTCAACCTTCAGGTCAATCACAACCAGCATTTTCCAGAGTCTTCTGGGTCCCCAGCAAGACACCTCCCTCCTACCTGTAGCCACCATTCTGTCCTGCTCCCCAGGCTGTGTGAAAGCACACATTGGCTACGTGGGCTAGGGTCCTGATGCAGGGAAAGGTCCCTAGAATTCATCAGGAGGTAGGAAGAGGGCCCCATATGTATGCTCATCATGCATTCCTGCAGGAGCCTCTGTCCTGGAGTGTCCCAGCTCATGTTCACTAGGGACTATGTGCCTTCACCTGTCAGCTGAGTCTTAAACCTTGTCAAGATGATGTCAGCTGAGTGAGACAGCTCCTGATGAGGAGGCAGAGACCAGAGGCTGGCGAAAGGCTGCAAGCATGCTCAGATGCAACAGGAAGGGAGATGGAGGAAGACAGGTGCAGCCACAGCTGGGGACCCTGGGGTCACTGGAGCCAGAAGGTCAAGGTGTCCTGTTTTGTCTCAGAGAGGGCACTGCTCTGCAGGCCCTGGACCTCTAATTGCCCTGGAACCTGTCATTACAGCTGCCCCAGGATTCTCTCGCCTGTTTCCCATGTGATACCCATCCCCTATATTTATAAGCAAATGGAGTGTATGCCCTTCCTCTTCTATGATACTAGTACTGTCCACTCATGTTTCAGAATGGCTGATGTTCCCTTCCCACCCACCCTATCAGTAAGAGGAGCCCGGTTCTTCATTGGCAGCCGGAAGAGAACCAAAGGCCTATTCACAGTGAGTGCGGAGAGGCTGCTAGCAGTACCCCTCCCCCAGGGCTGTGGGGACAGCTTGTCACATGCTTTAGATGATAGATTGCCATCTATGCTGAGAACCAGAAACACAAAGGTGTTGTGGAGTCTACCACAAGGCCCTCACACTGGCTGTTCCTATTTTCTCACACACTCCTCCCTGCAGTTCTTGGATTGCTACTCACAGGTCCTCCTACCATGGAAGCCTGTCCCCAACACTCTTGTAAACTGATGCTTGAATCTAGTCTTTCTGGCACTGATGTATATCTGCCCCATCCATCCATCCATCCATCCATCCACTCACCCATCCATCCAGCCAGCCAGCCAGCCACCTATCCACTCACTGATCCAGCCATCCATCCATCCACTCACCCATTCATCCATCCATCCATCCATCCATCCATCCACTCACCCATCCATCCATCCATCCATCCACTCACTCATCCATCCAGTCAGCCATCCATCCATCTATCCACTCACTGATCCATCCATCCATCCATCCATCCATCCACTCACCCATTCATCCATCCATCCATCCACTCACCCATTCATCCATCCATCCATCCATCCACTCACCCATCCATCCATTCATCCATCCATCCACTTACCCATCCATCAATTCACCCACTTAAACATCTACTCACACAACCAATCCACCTATTCATCCAGTCACCTACACATCCATCACCTGTGGTGTACTCACTGCTAGAGTGGTATCTGGAGTCTACTCCATAGCTGGGAGCTACAGTTCTCTATGATGTCCTCAGCATCTGCAACCATATCCGACATGTAGTAATCACTCTGTGGAAATATACTTGTGTTATGACTGAGTGGGCAAATGGAAGAACAGATAGGTGGGTAGATATATGCATGTATGGGTGGATGATGATGGATAAATGGATGGATGGATGGATGCATGCATGCACGGATGCATGGATGGAAGGATGGGTGGGTGGCTGGATGGGTGGATGGATGGATGGCTAGGTAAGTGGGTGGATGGGTGAATGGATGGATAGGTGGATGGATGCATGCATGGATTGATGTCTGGGTGGCTAGATGTATGTATGGATGTATGGGTGGGTGGGTGGGTGGGTAGATGGGTGGGTGGATGACTGGATGACTAAAGGGATGAATAGGTAGATGGACTGATTGGTTATCAATGAATAGACATTGGTGGCTTAGCAGATGGATTAGTGGTAAGTGGATGGGTGGATGATAGATGGATAGGTAGACAGACAGACAGACAGATGGGTGAATCAATGGTGAGAGGGTAGTGAAGGAAGGAAAGGAAGAGTAGTTGGGTGAAATGGTAAAGGAATGTGGCCTGGTCACTCTAGTTCCATGTGGACAGTCCCTACTTCACTAAGATTAGTAAGCAATTGTCTGTCATCACTCCTAATGGCTTCCCGATAACCTACACGCAGACCCCTTCCCATTGTGCAGGCTAGACCCACTGGACCATATGGGCCAAAGTCTCCAACAACGTCAGATATCAGTGGAACCTCACTTTCTCCCTCTACAGGGCCTGATAAGGCAACTGGTTCTGCTGCCTGGTTCAGATGCCACCCCAAGGCTGTGCCCCAGCAGGAACGCCAGGCTGGCAGAGCTGTCCATTCCCCGGGTGCTGAAAAGGCTCACAGAGAAGCCTGATGACAACGAGGTGCTGAAATATCCCTATGGTTAGTAAGCGGGGCTTGCTTCCCACCCCGGCAGCATCTGGGAGCACAGGCTCCTTTCCCAGCCTCTCCAATGTGCATCTCTCAGAAGGGCAGTGGCCAGGAGGACACTCGGGTCCATCAAAAGGGTCGGTTCCTTTGAACTGTCCCTCCCTTGAAGGGCTATACTTGGACAGCCTACAAGTAGGACATGCACCTTTCTTAGTCTCCTGGGCAGATGGTAGGCATGGCTTACATCAGGAAGGCTCCCTCCTCTAGACCACTGGCCAGCAATTGCCCATATCTCCCAGCCACTCCCTGCAGCTTATCCTAAAGTCCAGCCCACACCAAGACCTAGCTCTGTTTCCTACCAGCCCTTCCAGCCCTTGACTTCTTCTGGACATGCTTCTCCCTGGTTCTTACCCGCTCTGTTCTAGTGTTGGGTTGCAATGTTAAGCCATTTATAAAAATAACACCCCCTGCTGTATAGAACCTGAAAGTCCTTCCCCAACTACCCATATACCGCTGCTCTGTGGAAAGAAGATGAGGTGAAGGACAGCCAAGTCCCCAAAGTGTATGGTTCTCAAATAATAAATAAATGAAATCCCCATCCAAATATGTTGGCCATTTAGGTTTTACTGCGTTACACTGCTGCCTGGTGCTGGTGGAGCTGTCCACATAAAACCTATGTTGATACCAATAGTGGTGAGATCAAACCACAGACCCAAGAATACTGCCTGTAGCTTAGCTATGAAGAGGCAGGGAAAAGCAGAAAAGTGTATGGCTATTGAGGATGTCTACGGGGTGACAGCAAAGGGACAGAGAGACATTCCCTTCAGGTACAAGGTGGGTGTGGTCAGACAGTCACACAGGAAACACTGTGGCTGGGCCCTGGGTTTCCCAACCTATCTCCAATGACCTGTGCTGTCTGGGGCTCCCATCAGCCACACACAAAGGTAAAGATAGGACCACCGGGCTTGGACCTTTTGCACAGAGTCCTTATCTAAGAAGTCCTGACACACCAGACACTTTTGCCTGATCTTCCACACAGAAGCTGACATAAAAGTAACCCTGGGATCCCAGCCACCATGCACCAAGGCAGAGGGTGTCCAGTTCTGGTTTGATGCTGCCCAGAAGGGGCTCTACCTGTGTGCGGACAGCGAGTGGGTCTCCGTGTTGACAGGTGAGGAGGCTGGATGCAGAATTCACATCCTAAGCACACAGAGCATCTGGCTGCATCCCCATTGGGAAAGTGTACCGTGAAAGGCTTAGAGTCCCATCCACCTGGAAGGGCCACTTCCGAGAGTGGGAAGCCACCAGAACAGCCCAGGCAAGTCGGGATGTCTTCCTCCCTAGGATACCCCAGAGCTGTCCTCAGAACTCCAGGAGGAGTGACAAGCCTGAGTGTTCAACCCAGAAATAGTCATATCCTGGGTGTGCCATGAGGGCAGCATGCTGGCTTCTCTCAGCAACTCTTCCCTGATAGCTAATGGCAGAAAGAGGGTGCATCACAGACACTCAGACCTCTCTTTTGTCCTGTTTGAGTCTGGGGCCACAGAGACCCCCAAAGCCCCTGGTGGACAGGAGCAGGCCTCCTTTTAACAGTCCTTTCCCGAGAGAATAAAATGGGGCTCCAGGGGAAATCTCCTTCATAAATTCCAGGGCCCTCGGCACAAGCCTAAGAGCCAAGTCATGGCAGGGTCCCAAAAGTCACTCCCAAGAGAAGCCCCAGCTCCATTCCTATGCACACTGACTAGGTCCCCATCCTCCCATTCCAAGCCAAGACCAAGCTAGACTACGTAGAGGAGCACCAGAGTCTGCATACCAACTCAGAGACCCTGGGCATCGAGGTGTTCAACATCCCCGGTGTGGGACTCTTCGCAGCCACAGCCAATCGGAAGGCTAGATCAGCCATCTATAAATGGACAGACGGGAAATTTGTCTCCTATCAGAATATTGCCACACACCAGGCACAGTCATGGCGACATTTCACCATTGGGAAAAAGGCAAGTCTGTGCAGGTGACTTCCCCTTCCTTGCTGGTGGGCGCCTCCATTGGGTCTGCAGGCTGGAACTTTGCAGGTCAACGCATCTCTCGGGGTTCCAAGCATGCCCTTGCTAAGGGATTGGGTGGGATGCTCAAAGTCCCAGGCTTTAGGTTATAAGAGTATACCCATGAGGAGCCTGCTCAGTTTCCCTCAAGACACAGGTGGTACCAGTCTGTTAGCACAGGTTAACACCGTCTGCCTAGTCCTGTGCTAACTCACTACAAATCCAGACTGTTATTGGAGCCAGGAATATAGCTTGGTTGGTGGGGTGTTTGTCTAGCCTGTACAAATCCTTGAGTACGGTCCCCAACACTGTGTAAACTGGGTGTGGCGGCTCACACTTAAAACTCTAGCCTTCAGGGAGTGGAGGCAAGAAGATCAGAAGTTCAAAAACCATCTTCAGCTACATAGAGAGTTTGAGGCCAGCCTGGGCTACATGAGACCCTGTTTCACAAAACACTAACTGTTGGCGTGACCTCACTGGGTCTAACATAACACAGAAAGTGTCGCAGTGAGTATCTTACTTCTCACTCCACCTTGCTGGCCACACAGGATGCATAAAGGGATGCTAAAAGCAGGTCTCTGGAGGTCAAGGGCCTGAGAGTTAGCCTCAGGCCGTCTCTGCCTCGTGGACTGGAGTGAGCAGGAGACCTGTACAGGAGAGGGCATTGGAACCATCACAGGAGAAGTGAATGTTTCCTTCTCAATTTCTTCAGCCCGCATGACAGGACATTGTCCTGGAGACAGTATTGTGTGGCTGTCTCCAAGCTAGTCCAGCAGAGGGCCCATGGCAGACACTGGGGATAAAACAGGTAAAGCCTGCTGTCTCCTGATAGGGACACCCTGTTTCCAGGTGTCAGAGTGGCAGAAGCATGACCAGTTGGTTATTTCCTAATGACGTCTGAAAGATTTTCATTATCTTTATAATTTAAAAAGAAAGATAATTTAGCATTCAAGAAATAGTGGACAACAGAGAAACAAGAGAAGGAAACATTTTGTCCCTAAACGAATGCATGGCATGCTCTCATTTGCATATGGCACATGCATCACATGTTCTCTGTCCTGGGAGAGCCACACAACCATGCAACATAGAGCCGTGAGCGTGTTTCATTACCAGCACTTTGGTGTTTACTCGGTCTGTCCCGTGCCCTTCCCAGTGGATGTGGGAGAGGCTGAGGTTCAGAGTCCTGGGCTCCTGATCTGGTGCCAACAAACACTAATGTTTCTCTTCCAGATCTTCCTGGCCGTGGCCAACTTTGGGCCCAATGAAAGGGGCCAAGAGTTTTCAGTCATCTACAAGTGGAGTCCCAGAAAGCTGAAGTTCACCCTTTACCAGAGGATCGCCACCCACAGCGCCCGAGACTGGGAGGCCTTTAAGGTGGATGGAGAGCACTTCCTGGTGGTAGCCAACCACCGAGAAGGTAGGGCAGATGTGGCCTTTGACCTGGAAGGAAGTCATTCCGTAGTGTGTGTGCAAGGGTGAATTTTCATCTCATTAAAAAAAAATTAAGAGCCAGGCGTTGGTGGTGCACGCCTTTAATCCCAGCACTAGGGAGGCAGAGGCAGGTGGATCTCTGTGAGTTCAAGGCCGGCCTGGTCTACAGAGTGAGTTCCAGGACAGCCTCAAAAATAATACAGAGAAACCCTGTCTTGAAAAACAAACAAAAAAAATTAAGTTGGAGCTGAGGAATGACTCCCCCAGTAAAGTGCTTGCTTGCCTTAGAAGCATGAGAGCCTGAGTTTGACACCCAGGATGTAAGAAAAAAATAGCTAAACATGGCTTTGTATTCCCAGTACTGGGGTAGAGGATCCCAGGAACTCATCACAGCTGGTGTAGCCTGATTGGTGATTCCCAGGCCACCGAGAGGCATTATCTCAAAAAGACAAGGTAGTCAGTGTCCCTGAGGACTGACACTGGTGATTGGCCTCTAGCTTCTACATGGACATTACACACATACATATGCAACCCGCAAACACACACACACACACACACACACAAATACACAAATCCTAAGTCTTGTGTGGCCCATTTCCTGCAATTTTCCCCTGAACTGTGTGGTCAGAGGTAGTCCACATGAACTCCGTCACAACTGTGGTTGACCTAGGTTAGGAAGACAGGGAAGCCATGTGGTTCCTGACCAGGAGAGAAGCTACTGAGCCCCAGTGTGGGCTATATCAGCAACTTCCCTCCTAACTTTGAGGAGTCAGTACAGCTAGCTGGTGGCATCCTGACCATGGGTCAAGGCAGTAGACGCAGCGCTAATGTCCATGAGTGTGTGGCCATAGAGGGAGCCAGTTTGGAAGCTGTCTCCACCACTGCTTCCCTAAGAGCAGGCTCAACATTCTGTCATGGACTCCATAATGTCAGAGAAGACAGCAGGCAGCACAGCCCAGGAGGTCTGGGAACCCCGGTGTCCGAGTCAAGCTCTTTCCCTGATGGTAGCCAAGTCTCCTCAGTCCTGGAACTCCACGGGTGGGTGACTGTGAGTCATCTCTCCGGAGACTTCACAGCTCAGTATCCACCCAGGTGTGAAGTGCACCAGGCAGCCATTGCACTCAGGGTCTAGGGGAGCCCAAGACCCCCAACAACAGAGTACCCCTCAGGGTGAGTGCTCCACCGGAGAGGAAGACCATGGGAGAAGACCTTCCAGGGAGGACCATGGGCGAGCAGCTCCAGGGGTCTCTTCTAGGGAGTACCATGAAGGGAGGGTCACAGGGGGAGGATCTCCAGAAAGCACCGCAGGGGAGGACCTCCAGAGAGCACCGCAGGGGAGGACTTCTGGACAGCACCATGAGGGATAAATGCCTGGGGAGCACTATTCATGGAAGACTTCCAGGGACAGCATGGGGGAGACGTTTCAGACAAAGAGATTGTCATGTGAGAACATCCGACCTCTTAGGGCAGGGAAGGGCAGGAGGTGAGCAGAGCTTTGATGATGGAAGACTAGGGCACACCTGACAGCCCTATAAACCCACAGGCTTTTTCTTCTGGACCCAGAGGCTGGATGGCACAGGTTACCTGAGGGGTGGGGCAAGGGAGGGCCTTGGGTGTGCAGGGGATGTGCACAGTAGCTGTCTGTGCCCTGGCCAAGCTGTGCCCTCCAAGCAGCTGGGAAGCCTAGGGGAGCCGCCCCCCACCCCCAGCACTGACCTTGGTTCCAGGGGACAACCACAACATCGACAGCGTGGTCTACAGGTGGAACCCCGGCAGCCAGCTCTTCGAAGCCAATCAGTCGATTGCCACGTCCGGAGCCTATGACTGGGAGTTCTTCACCGTGGGGCCCTACTCCTTCCTGGTGGTGGCCAACACCTTCAATGGCACCTCCACCCAGGTGCACTCCCACCTCTACATCTGGCTGGTCGGCGCCTTCCAGCTCTTCCAGTCATTCCTGGTAAGCAGCCTGAGTCTTCCAGTGCAAGATGCCACGGACACCCGGCCTGTGGCCCGTGCCCGCTGGGCGGGGTCCTCAAGGGGCGGGGGCTCCATGAAAGACAGTGTAGTGTGGCCCAGACCCCAGTGCCCAAGCGCCTGTCCCTGCTGTATGCCACATCTTCCCCGGGGGGTCTGGACCCTCACTGATTCCATGGCCCCCAATACTCCGGAGGAAAGCCTGGGTGTGGGCTGAGGCTGTAGAGGAAGGTACTCTGGGTGCCCACAGCAGTCTTCTTCAGGGACCACATCTCCCCAGCTCTGATCGGTCAGTGTCTGTGGATCTCCAGGTCTGGCAACTTGACTCTGACTGGGGCAGAGGGTGGGGACTTTGACTTTGAAGCCCCTTGGCTGGTCCGCACCACCCCTGCTGGCAAGATCTCTGAGTATTTAGTTTTGTGGCATAGACAGTTTTATGTCGCGGTCTGTTTGTGTGAGCTGCACCGAGCAGCAAGCTTTGCCAAAAATAGCAGAGCTTCCAGCAGTGACCTTAGTGGGGGGCAGAGGCACAGCCAGAGGCCAGTAGCCACTCTGCAAAGCAAAACCGGAGCCCAGGGTTTCCCAGTTCTTCCCAGGCTGTGTGCTGTAGAGTGCTGTAGAGGAGGGCAGCCCCAAGAATGGCTCTGCTGAAGGCGGGGAGGGAGGGGCAGGGCTGGTACAGAACAGCCAACAGCCGAGGGCGCAGAGGCAGCCGCAGTTTGAAGCCGCGGGGCATCATGGGGGAAGACCCAGATTGGGTGGACAGGCTCAACCCTGCCAGAGCTGCAGGCTGCCCTTTCCCCCACATCTTCCTGACTCCTCAGAACACACAGAGGTTCACTTTCATGCCTTGCCAATAGTCTCTCTTCTTTTGCTTAAATCCTTTCAGCCCTGGAGATGCCTTAATACGTTTACCGTTTGCATTATTGCAATGTCACGAACATGAGCTTTGAAGCTAACTAAACTGCATACTCTGAATGTACCCGCAAGCTGTGGGGACACACCCACCTCTGCAGGGCATGCCTTTCTGGAAGGGTCTGTGGTGCAGGTACTCAAACCAAGCAGGCTCCCATCCATAGGGCAGGCACTCCCAGGGCACCATGGGTAAGTGCAGTGGTTCAAAGGGAGGCTTCAGGCATCACAGATCTTACAGCCCAGGGCTGGGTGAGCAGAGACCGGCTGCCGGGGTGGGAGCGGGGAGCAGTTAGGATGGTGGGGCAAGGGCAGCTTTAAGGGACACACCCCTGAGGTCTGGCCACAAGTGTGCCTCCCTGCCTTGGTTTCCTTGTTGGTGGGGTAAGGACGGTGTGAAAACAACCTCATGGGTAAGTAACACCTGGATGACCCTCAGAAGAGGCTGCTCTGGCCTGTGCAAACACCTCAACACACCTCTGACTTCTGCACCCACCGAGACAGAAACTGGCTGTGGTCCTCGCAGGCTGGGAAGGCATCTGATTTGAGGGATGCCTCTGTGGTCAGGCAGGAGCACGGGACAGGGAGGGACACTAAGAGTTGGCCCGAGAATGCGCTATGCTCAGGGGTCTCAGGAGTGCATCTTCCTGTAGCCTTGGTGCCCCCCTAAGCTGAGAGCCCACAGTGAGGTGTCAGCAGCTCCAGGGCCTCTGATTGGCTGGGGAAGCCCTAGCCATGCGTCGCCTTCCCTCCTCTCCTGGCACTCCAGGACCAGAGAGCACGCTCATCTTTCTGCATCAAAGCCAGGCTGAGTCTCTTTGGTCCAGAAACTAATCCACTGATGGCTGAGTGCCTGCCCACCCAATGGGAGCTGTGGGATGCCAGGTGCTCCTGGCAGCAGCTCCTGGAAGTACCATTATCCTGCCAAGGTACTCCAGTGGCACACACCCAATGCCTGGACAGCAGGCGGCTCTCTGGGGCAACTACTCTGGGAGAAAGGGAAGGCCTCCCATCCCAGAGGGCATCTGTCACCTGGGCTCCAGGGCAAGGTGGGCATTGGTAGAACGGTCTAATGTTGGGGTTCTGCATTCCCTGATGATCTGGGCATACAGGGGCCATCTGAGCCACAGGGCCTGATGTACCCTTCAGTGGCCCTCGCATCTCTGAGTGGGAGGGGCTTGCAGAGGGAGCAGTGTGGGCCTCCCCAGGAGGGGCTTCTGGCAGTAGGGCCTGGGAATCTGTGCAGCCAGTGACTAGTCAGCTGTGAGCCAGCCACCTGGCCAGCTAAGGGTTCAGAGCCTGAGTCAGCAGGGCCGTGGCAGGTCTCTACCAGTCCATGGCTGACATTACCCAGGAACAACAGACAAGGTGAATTTCAGATTTAAAAAAATGAATGATATTTTATAGGATTATGTCCCAACTATTGTTGGGATATATGGAGAACAGAATATCACACCTCAAGTACTTGAAATTAAGGTGGGGGTGAACCCATATTTGCTAAGTTAGAACCCTGGTCCTGATTGGGCTCAGAGAAGATAGGCGCTCGAGCTGTCTCTGAGCCCCAACTGTTAGGGCACACGGCAGGCCTTGTGTCTCTCATACCCTAGGGACACAGCAGGCTCTCCAAGAGGTGACTGAAGGCCCTGTCCCAGCACCTGCCCAGTGGAATGAGCCTCACATACCCCATGATGCCATGCTCCCTTCTCACACACCTCCCTAGTTCCTATGGCTCCCTCATCTTCCTCCCTAGTTCCTATGGCTCCCTCCCTCATCTTCCTAGTTCCTATGGCTCCAGGGTTCTGGTAATATATCTACTCTCACGTTCTTCGTGCTCAAAAGCTTTCTCCATCTCCCCCAGCCCCTCCTGAGCAGCTTCCTTCTTCCCCCTGCTCCCCACATGCCCTGTGGATGTCCTGACTTCCCACCCACTGGCCCCCCTCCCCTTCCCCTGCACAGCTGCCTCTCTTCCGTAGTCCCGAAGTCCTGGACGGTCCCTTACAGGTCCTAAGGTGGGGCTCCACCCCTGCTCTGGTAAAGAATACTTGGCTGCTCGCTGAGGCAGCACCCAGCCTGGTCCCAGCTGGAAGTTTTTACCCTTTACACAGTCCCAGGAGAGCTTGCTCTGGGCCTCCAGCCACCCTGGGTGGCATAGGACAGCCACTACCAGAGCTCCCTGTGCAAATCCCTTAGGGCCCCATCAGTACAGGTGAGCAGAGACAAGCAACTCAAAGCTGAAAGGAAACCCTGGTGATCTGAGAAAGGTGTGTGCCGTGTGGGCGTGCATGTGTGTGCCTGCCTGTACACGTATGTGCACACGTGCAGACACATGCCTATAGGTAAGCGTCCATCAGAAAAGAGATGTGTATGCACAGGTATACACACATCTGTTTATACGTATTGCACATACATTCACACACACAGGTGTGCGTGAACATCTGTGTGTGTGTGTGCACAACTCCACTCCTGTGCATACACCCGTACACATATGCTGTGGACATGATAGTGCACCGGTTTGTCTGTGAGCGTATGTGTGTGTGTGTGTGTCCGCAAGTATGTAAGCAGGCACGTGGCAGACAGTGGTGATTTTCTTAGCACTTACTTGCAAGAAGCAACTCCGTGGCAGGCAGAGGACTGCCTGTGCCACACGGTGCTTGGGTATGGGCCTGGTAGTCTGAAGGTGCTGCAGACTCTAGTATCTCTGTGTCAGCGGCTCTCTGGACTGCTCCCAGCTTATACACAGCCCTGTGAGGAGAAGGGATGCTGGTCTAGAAAAACCTCAGGCAGCCTCTGTCCCCGCCCATGACTTTGTGACCCCAGGATTCCTGGGCCCCTTACCTCTAGGGTCTCAAGTAACTCTGACCCATGCCTCTTAGGCTTCTTCGAGCTCCTCCTGGATCAAACCTTGGGGCAGCCTCCTCTGGATTCCCAGCCGGTTCTTGCCCACTACCTGGCTGGGCTCAGTGGGTACTGGCGCCCTCTGCTGCCCGTGGAGAGAATGCTGCTAAGTTCGGCTCAGGGCTGGTTTCTTCCCCTAAGCCTCCGGCAGGGTTGGCCAGCCAGACCATGAACAGCAAGGAGACAGAGGCTCTTGGTAGTGTGAAGACAAGGAGTTAACTGATCTCCACTGAGGGCAGGATAAAAGCACCCAGAGGGTGACTGTGAAGGTGGGTTAGCAGGTGAAGCTGCCACATGGTCCCCGTAAAAGTGGGGTGTGCAGTGGCATGTACTCGTAAGTTCTGGAGAGGCAGAGACGAGAGATCCCCGAGGCTCGCTGAATCAGAGAGGCCCAGGTCCCACACAAAGACCCTTCCTCAAAAACAAAGCAAACAAAACAAAAAAAAAGTAAATGGTTTTTGGATAATAACTCCTGAGGCTCACCTTTGGCCTCCAAGTACATGTGCACAAATGTATATATATATGTACACTTGCACATATAAACATATATACACACACATCTGGAAGTTCCAGAGCTATTTCTCACACTGACTATACAAGATGTCTCCCAAGCAGGAGGCTCCTGGGCATCAGGAAGATGCCATTGCCCATCTGGAGCACAATCCATAGCATGGCTCACTCTGTCCCCAGCTAGGACAACCTGGGGCAGCCCCAGGATAGCCTGCCTGTGTCTTCAGAAAAGCAGCCTGCTGGAGAGCTGCAGCTCCTACGGGCTGTGCGGCTTGAACATCCCTGCCCTGGCTCAGGTCCCCAGCGTTCAGTGAGGATCCCAACAGAATCTGGCCCGGTGTGTTATCTCAAGACATAGGGGACTGAGTGGCATCGTTTAACTAACATTCCAGAAGGAGTCAACTGCTACACAAGCCCAGGTTTCACAGTGTCCCCGTAGGGCACGTGTTATTGGACAATAGTCATTGCTTGTAGCAGCTGCGTATGCTGTTTTCTCCCTCTGAGGGGAATTGAGGGTCTAACACATTGTTGGTCCCACTGGCCTCTGGAAGTTTCATTATAGCCTTTGCTTTATTGTATCTAAGTTATGTTTTTAGTTCCAGGCAATTTTCCTTAGTTCTGCATCCTCAGTCTTCCTCATTGTCCGGAGACCACACAAGGACAGCCAGAGCCCCCTGATGGCCTGTGACTCCTCCTCCAGCCATAGGCTCCGCCTCCTGAATCTGCCACACTCCAGAGCTCACCCCTAACCCACACACGCAGCTCCCTCCACTTCAGCAGCTTCCCCCCCCCCCACTCTCTCTCTCTCTCTCTCTGTGTCTGTGTGTGTGTGTGTGCGCGCGCGCACGCAGTTTGAGTATAAGGCACTGATGTGCACAGAAGCTAAGACTACAGAGCCCTGGCTGTACAGGAGTTTCCTGGAACTTGGTGGAGCACTGTCCACTAGCCACAGACCCTACATGGGCCAGCACATTCCTTCCCTTGCTCTGGCCTCCTGCCCTGCTGTCTTCCTAGGCAGTCACATACCTACTAGGGCCTTCCTCCACTGCTTCAGCTTTTCTTGATAGGGGCCTCCCTCTCCTTCTTTGTGCAAGACCACTATGCACTTCCTTTCAGTAGGCTCCTCATTCAAATGGACTTGCATAACTTTGGGGCTGTGACAAAGGTTTTCCCCATCACCCCATGCTTTATGGGACTGAGTGACCTCGGGAGCAAGCAGGCAGAGGAACTCTATTTTGGGCTGTGGAGAAAGGGTGGCAGCCAGGTGGCCTCAGGGGGACAGCTAGCACTGGATCACTGGGTACAGTGGTGATGGCGTTGGTGGCATGGCAGTTGGAGTCGCCCTCACTGGCCTCACCCTCCTGTATGGCTCTTGATTCACTCCAGACCTTCGGCGCTGCGGACTGGGAGGTCTTCCACATTGGCGAGAGGATCTTCCTTGCGGTGGCAAACAGTCACAGCTACGACGTGCAGATGCAGGCGCAGAATGACTCCTATGTCCTCAGCTCTGTCATCTACGAGCTCAATGTCACAGCTCAGAACTTTGTCAAGTTCCAGGACATCCCCACCTGCAGGTACCAACCAAGTGGTAGGAAGGGCAGACTCAGTCTGTGGGTGGGGTGGGTGACACTGGAAGGCCTGCCAGGCCATCCCTGACTTCCTCCCAGGACGCCTGGTCAGGGCAGGTGACCAAGATCAGAAGAGCCATTCCCGTGGCTGGCCCTGTCTTCTTTCAAGCAAGGCCTGGAGATGTGAGTTCACAAGAGAAGGCCCAGCACCTCCACGGGGAGAAATGGTGTGACATAGAGTGAGCATCAGGTCCGAGGTGCCACCTCCCACCATGCACTGCCAGACCCTGCCCTGCTCTGCAGGGCCACCAAGTTATCACTGGGAAGGCAGAGCCATCCCCACCCACACTGAGTTCCTCTGGAAAGATTCTCGCTATCTCCAAGTAAAACCCAGCTGCACTGTCCACACAGCAGAGCCAGAAGGCTGAGCTCCAGGCTGGGGTTCTTGGCCTGTGGGTCATTATCTCATTTGGGGGGAGGGGTTACATATCAGATATCTGTATATAAGATTTTTATATTACAATTCGTAACAGCATCAATGTGACAGTTACGAAGTAGCAATGAAAACAATTTAATGGTTAGGGGGATCACCACAGCATGAAGAACTGTAGTAAAAGGCCAAAGCATTAGGAGGGTTGAGAACCACTGGGCTAGGCCCAGAGTGGCTATCAATCTAGAACGCAGTAGGAGCTGTCACAGGGCTCTTCATCCCTTAAGAGTTTTGGGGACACTCACAGTCCCTCCTGAGTGCCAGGAGCTCCTCAGCCTGAGAGAGAGCACTGAGAAAGTTTAGATTCTTCAGAGGCCGGCAGTCAAGTAAAAAGGTGAGGTTGGTGTCTGTGACAACTTAAAAACAAAAGAGAGGAAGAAGTTACAGAGTGAGCTGTAACTTAGGAGACAAGGCCTGCCCAGAGGCCAACATGGGGCCAGCATTAACTCTACAAAGATGTTGGCGTCCTCACATGGCTCCCTGTCTCCTCAGTGCCCTGGACTGGGAGTTCTTCTCGGTGGGAGAAGATCACTTCCTGGTGGTCGCGAACTCCTTTGATGGAAACACCTTCTCGGTGAACAGTATTATTTACAGGTAAGGACTGCTGATGGCCGACATTCGTCCTCCAACCTTAGGTGGTTCATAGCAGGAGGCTCCCCTCCCCCTCACAAGTGACCACTGGTTCGGAGCAAGTTTAGACCATCAGGCTGAGGGTGTGTTTCCCGGGGCCTGGCCAAGCAGGGAATCTGTGCCAGGCTGTACCCACCAGAGAGCATGCCATTGAGTCACACCCCTCAGATAATGACTGACAGCTGAAGATGTATAGGTGGGCATGCTAAGTGGGAATTTATGGGGTCCAGTTTTCCTCTTACATTTTTTGAGTTTTTTTTTTCTTTTTCTGAGCATGAGTGGGGTATTGTTTCCACTGGCAGAGTCTCACAAGTTTTTTGCATTTAGTCACCTAACCAAATTGTTTTACCATCTCTAACACTTCTCTTGGGAGGCATCTCAGGGGCCCTCGCAACTCAGGCTGTCTCTGCCAAGAAGGTAGGGGCACCCTTGCTCCACAAGGCTCCTACTGCTTAGTTAGTTGCCCAACTAGCTCAAAGCTCCAGAACTATCTTGGGCAGCAGCAGTGGGGGTCAGCAATCCTGCCCCCGGCTTTGATCTAAACATCATGCTGAGCGGCCTGCCTGGTTCCTGATTTCCTTAGGCATCCATGGTACGTGGGGCAGGAGATGATGATCTGCTGGTGTGGTGATAAGCAGTGAGAGATATGTTCCGAGCTGAGTGGCTGAGGCTGATTCAGAATGTCTTCATCCCCCTGGATTCCAATTGCAGCTCAGACTCTGGTTTATATAGGAAGTGAAGTTTGTCCGTGACATCCTGAGGTCTATAACTTTATAAGGATACGATGCAGCTTCTCTCTGCACCTGTGACCAGGGCAGTTTCAATAATGGTGTGTTGATTTCTGTCATTGGGTTCAATTCACTTCTGGGCCTCGGGCCTCTTTATGAGCCCTTCCCCCATGCTTACCAGCTTCTTCGGGTGTCCTGAAAGGCTTCGGTCACCTGTAGTTTATGAGAAAAGCTATGGCTTTGCTTAGACTCCCAGAGTCATTGCTGTAGTCTTTTGAACATAATAAACTAATTTTTAAAGGTGTGTTGAGGGGAGAGAGATGCTCGGTGGTTAAGAGCACTCGCTGCCCTTCCAGAGGACTGATTCAGTTCTCAACACCCTTCATGACTCCAAGTCCAGGGGTCCAACCCCTTCTTCTGACTCTGTGGGTGTCAAGCATGCATGTGACGCCCATGCATACCCACAAGCAAGATACTCATACACATGAAATAAAAGAAACAAATTCAAAAGAAAAAAGTATAATGTATGTTGAAGAATGATAGCCAAAAAACTTTTGAAAAATGATATTGAAAAGACTTGGTAGATGTCACAGTCATTAAAGTGCTTGGGGATCGAACACGGACCTGAGTTCAATCCCCAGCACCCACATATGAGCCAGCCCATGTGTGTAATCCCAGCACTGGGAAGATGGAGATTAGCAGGTCTGTGGGGTTCTTCCTGCAGCCAGTCTAGCCAGATCAATGAGCTCTGGGTTCGATGAGAGATCCTGAGAAAATCAGATGGGGGTGAATGAGGGAGATACCCCAAGTCTATCTCTAGCCTCCACACATATGTGCATGCAAACCAGCACACTCATGAGCCTGTTTCTGAGGACTGAGACACGAACAGCCAGTGCTCCTGACTGCACACTCCTGGATATTTAGGGTGCCCGGAACAGACTCCTGGGTAGAGGAAAGGGAGCTTTGGGATCTTGGATGGGCCTCAGTTTCTCACTTGACCCTGGGAACATGTCCCCTGGCATCAGGCTGACTGTCCCTCCCACAGGTGGCAAGGCTATGAGGGCTTCGTGGCAGTACACAAACTCCCCACTTTCGGCTGCCGGGACTGGGAGGCCTTTAATACCACGGCAGGCTCATACCTCATCTACTCCAGCGCCAAAGAGCCCCTCTCCAGGGTCCTGAAGCTGCGGACTGGCTGAAGTTACCCGGGACCCTACGGCCTCCCCTGAGCATCTGGGCATGAGCAGAAGGCAGGACCCACCCAGCCCTCTCGGGTCCTGGGACAAGTGAAGATGCCCGTAACCTCTCCACCCTCTCTGAGCTGGCTCTTTCCCCCTCCCCCAGCTGGTGCTGTACCAGAGCCACAGTCCTGGTGACTGGTGGCCATATTTCAGGTGGCCCTCGGACCCTTCAGGCTGAGGCCCAAGGCTGCCACCCAATCTCGGTGCTCCCAGCCTGTGTCCTGCAGGAATTCTGCCTTAAAGGGACAGTTGCTATCACACTTTACCTCAAACACAGGGACCCTGGCAATCTCTAGGGCCCCAACTCTCCCAGCCACCCCTGCTGTGCAGCTCTGATGTGCCTGTCATGACCAACACCTATTTATTGTATTTTATCTAGATGGAAATATATTTATATTGCTCTTTACAAAAAGCATGGATGGCATCCTTTTTTCTTTCGGAGTCTCAGTAGTGGACTCTTGCAGAGAACATCATCCTTCTGCAGATGGGGTCTTCCACAATGTCAGTTTACTCATAAAAGTACCAGGGCAAATTTAGGTCAGAAATCCCAAGATCCTGTGTGGTGTGTGTCCCTCTCCTTCCTCAGGAACCCCATTATGAGGACATGGGTGGCTTCCCTAACTACACTCCAACTTAACCCTGCAGTGAGCTAGGTGCATACAAAGGCACCCAAGAAAGGACTGGCTTGCTCCTTTCCATGGCCAAGCCCAGCATGAGGCCCCACACTTCTCTAAACGGCTCTAGAAATAGCATAGATACACTGTGAGCAGCACAGAGCACAGGGACACTGAGCATCCCTAGGGTAGAAGAAGTAATGAGTCCTTGAGGGACAGCCCTGTGGGAGACTGGGGCACACAGACCTGCCACTGGGGAGCACAGACCTGCCGCTTCCGATCCTGGGGTCCAGAAACCATTGGCAGGCTAGGGGGCTAGAACTCAGCCAGCCTGTTTCCACACCTTCCTCTAGCTGCCAGAGCTGGAACCAGGAGGCACAGCCAGGGCCAAGGCTGCTGTGGGCACACTCGGGGACTTGTCAGGTTTAATGGAACCCTGCTGTTGGGACGTTGAAGCCCTAGGTGGACTTTGAATGATTTTATATATATATATATATATATATATATATATATATGTGTGTGTGTGTGTGTGTGTGTGTGTGTGTGTGTGTGTGTGTGTGTGTGTGTATGTATGTATGTGTATATATCAGATGCATGCATGCCTGTGTAAAAGTGCCAGATCTATCCTCTGAAACTGGAGTTACAGAGTTGTGAGCTGCCATGTGAATGCTGGGAATTGAACCTGAGTCCTCTCTCCAGCCCCAGTTTTTTTCTTTATTCCTCTATCACATAATACATACTAACCCTAGCCTCTCTTCCCTCCCCTTCTCCCAATCCCCCCCCTTCCCTCTCATCTAGATCCACTGTTCCTCTATTTCCCTTCAGAAAAAAGCACCACCCAGTGATATTAACTAAACACAAAATGCAGTAAGACTAGGCACAGACCTGTAGTTGTTGGTTTTATTGATCTTTACTCTTTGGGGGATCTGCCACCCAGCTCTCAAGTAATCACTCATGAACACTTATTTTTTCTTGTAAATGCCAGGTCTTAGCTTGGATTCTATCTTGCCAGCTTTTCTTAAATTATCCCATCTACCTTTTTTCTCTGGATTTTTTCCTTTTCTTACTTCTGTAATCTTACTTTCACACTTACTCCAAGGCTGACTGTGTGGCTGGGTGACTGTGTGACTGGGTGACTGGGTGACTGGGTGTCTGGGTGTCTGGGTGACTGGGTGTCTGGGTGACTGAGTGGCTGGGTGGCTGGGTGGCCGGGTGGCTGGGTGTCCAGGTGGCCGGGTGGCTGGGTGACTGGGTGACTGGGTGACTGGGTGGCCAGGTGACTGGGTGACTGGGTGACTGGGTGGCTGGGTGGCCGGGTGACTGGGTGACTGGGTGACTGGGTGGCTGGGTGGCCGGGTGACTGGGTGACTGGGTGACTGGGTGGCCGGGTGGCCGGGTGACTGGGTGACTGGGTGGCCGGGTGGCCGGGTGACTGGGTGACTGGGTGACTGGGTGGCTGGGTGGCCGGGTGACTGGGTGACTGGGTGGCCAGGTGACTGGGTGACTGGGTGACTGAGTGGCCGGGTGACTGGGTGACTGGGTGACTGGGTGGCCGGGTGACCGGGTGACTGGGTGACTGGGTGACTGGGTGGCCGGGTGGCCGGGTGACTGGGTGACTGGGTGGCTGGGTGGCCGGGTGACTGGGTGACTGGGTGGCCGGGTGGCCGGGTGACTGGGTGACTGGGTGGCCGGGTGGCCGGGTGACTGGGTGACTGGGTGACTGGGTGGCCGGGTGGCCGGGTGACTGGGTGACTGGGTGACTGGGTGGCTGGGTGACTGGGTGGCTGGGTGACTGGGTGGCTGGGTGGCTGGGTGACTGGGTGGCTGGGTGGCCCCTATCATCCACCTCTCCTTGTTCTCTTGCTCCTTCTCTTCCTCCCAAATTTCTCCTCTTTATTCTCTCTGCCTGCCAGCCCTGCCTACCCTCTTTCCTGCCTCGCTATTGGCCATGCAGTTCTTTATTAGACCAATCAGGTGTTTTAGGCAGGCCAAGAGTCACAGCGTCACAGAGCTAAACAAATACAACATAAAAGAGTGCAACACATCTTTGCATCATTAAAACAAATGTTCCACGGCATAAACAAATGTAACACAACTTAAAATAATGTTCCATGACACAAACCCTCATATCAAGGCTGGACAAGGCAACCCAACTGGAGGAGAGGGAGGAAACTAGTCCTATAAGCAGTCAAAAGAGTCAGAGACAGCCCCGACTCCTACCCTTAGGAGTCCCACAAGAACACCCAGCTACACGATTGTAATGTCTCTGCAGAGGATTCAGCTCAGGCCCATTCAGGTTCCATGGTTGCTGCGTCAGTCTTGGTAAGCCTCTATGAGCCCATGCCTGGAGATTAATTTTTAAGTCTGACCTTGAGGTCACACAATCCATTGAAAGTCTGACTAGATCAGGAACTTGCAGGTCAATAGTTTGGACTTCTTTTCCTGCAGGCATTAGCCTGCTGGCCCATGCTACACTGGACTGGACGTGATTCCCAGCCTCACAGTCTCAGTCAATCCCAAAATGCCTGTTTGTTTCGCTGGTCTCTTGCTTGTGTGCATACTCCCCACCACTTCCTCCCTCTCTGTTTCTATTTATTATATTTTTTCTAGGACTCAGGCATGAACCCAGGGCCTCGTGCATGCCAGGCAAGCTCTCTACCACTGAGCTAAATTCCCAGCCCCTCCCCGTCTTTATTTTGCGACAAGATCTTATTAAATTACTGGGGCTGCCCTTGAACTCATCCTGCAGCCCAGGCTAACCTGTAACTTGTGATCCTCCTGTCTCAGCCTCCAAAGAGGCTGGGATGACAGGCCACCAGCCCTGACTGGTTCTGTTTCTTTGGAGACACAAATGGGCAAAAGTCCCTGAGCAGTAGTCAGGACAGCCCAAACCTAGTCCCACCAGCCACCTGTGCCTGTAAGCCTGCGTGTGCATTGGACAAGACATGACCAGGGCTGTTACCTGCTCTGTCCTACCCCCTAAAAGCGTTTTCCCTCTTGGAATCAGGTGATGCCCACTTAGTCTGACTCTGAGGCACGCATGTTGATTCGGTGTCCAGTCAGCCAGGAAGTTGGCGCCAAGGAGGAGGGGGGCAGGCAACACTCATCGCTAACAGTGGGCACAAAACAGAGAACAGTAATTTGTCTTCCGCCCAAAGGTGCCACCCCGACTCTGGTTGGCCTGCTGAATGGAAACAAACACGAGAGCGGAGCCTGTAAATCAAGGTGTTTAAATTCTGAATACAAGCCGGAGAGGGCCAGAGCGTCCTCAGGGATTCACAGCATGCGCGCCGGCTGCACCTCTGGTTTGCATCTTGTGCTGGAGCTCCTGCAGCCCAGGCTGCTTACTGAGTCACCAGCTCATGGTTCCTGACCCACCTAGCAGTCCCTCCGGAAAGTCCCAAGTGTGCTGGGCCAGGTGTCTTCAAGAATCCATGGTGTTGGTGTGTGACAACAAACGTTGAAAAAATGTCACTGGATAAATCTCAGTTTTCAGCTATGGCTACTTCCTGGAAGTTGTACCTTCCACAGAAGCATATCAGCAGTCATCTTTGTTTCTGACTTTTAGACTTTGCTTCCTACAAAACACAGCCAGTCATGTGTGAACACACCCATGTCACCTGCCTCCCAAACTGAACATGGTCTATGTAGTCCTGCTGTAGCATTCTGTTTGCTGAGGTCGTTGTTTCTCATGTTGGGATTTCCATGGTTTGCCCTTTGACCTCCCCACTGCCAACAGGTACCTTTGTCTCCCAACTCCTCCCTCACACAGGTACACTTTCCCACGGATACCTGGCACGTGACACTTACGCATACCTTCCTACAGGTACGGCAGTGCAAACATACGCTGTGAATGTATGCTCGCACACACCTTCCAGTCCTCCCGAGCCAGGCCCTGTGTCATGAGCAGTAGGCCTTGAGACCCCTCCCACGTGTCTGACTCAAATCCGAAGCACAATTTTCCCTCGCAGTTGAGTCATGCTGGTCCTCTGTCCCTACACTGAGTGTCACCAGGCGCTACACAGTGTGGATGCTGTCTAGCAAATCTGCTGTTCCGTGGGACCCATCCAGGTCACACCCTCTTGTCACGTGCTCAGCCAGTGCCTGCCTAGCTCACCGCCTCCTCAGGCCCACGCTCGCCCACAGCTGCGCTGCCCTCCCTGGGACTCCTCAACCAGCTGCAGTCCCTAGCCCCTCCCCGAGCATGCTGCTGTCTGCCCTCCATCCTCCTGCTCAGCAGCCTTTGGCTTGCAGTCCCGCTCATGAGGCTGCTGGAAAGGTCGTGGGGGAAGGCTTGCTGTGGCCGATGGCCATTCACAGGATTGCTAGGCAACAGGGCAGGTTGGTGACAAGCTACAGGACCACCTCCCACAGGAACCGTTTCAGAGCCTTTGGTGCTCCCAACCCCGGATCTCACAGGTCACCAACAGGTGTCTGATGCCACCTAACACTGCCCTGCAGTGTGGCATGGTAGAATATTATTTTAAGATGTGTGACTTTTGTTTACGCTGTATTTGTTTAACTCTGTAAAGCTGTGTTACTGGGCCTGTCTAAGACACCTGATGGCCCTAATAAAGAGCTTAACGGCCAATAGCAAGGCAGGAGCAAGGATAGGTGGGGCTGGCAGGCACAGAGAATAAATAGGAGAACAAGGAGAGGGGGATGTGTAGTCATCTAGCTACACAGCAACCCGTGGAGTAAGATTTACAGAGGAGAACAAGGAAAGCCCAGAGGCAAAAGGTAGACGGGATAATTTAAGTTAAGAAAAGCTGGCTAGCCAGGCGGTGGTGGTGCACGCCTTTAATCCCAGCACTCGGGAGGCAGAGGCAGGCGAATCTCTGTGAGTTTGAGGCCAGGCTGGACCGACAGCCTCCAAAACAATACAGAGAAACCCTGTCTCGTAAAACCAAAAAAAAAACAAACAAACAAAAAAAAAAAAAACCCCCCGAAAAGCTGGCTAGGAGCAAGTCAAGCTAAGGTCGGGCATTCATAGCTAAGAATGAGCCTCCATGTGTGATCCATTTGGGAGCTGGGTGGCAGCCCCCCAAAAGAGAAGAAACATCTTACTGCGGTGTGGAGATCACAGAAGCCATGGAGAGAGGGCAGATCATGGAAGGAGAATGGTGCGACCTGTGGAAGGTCTGTATGTCCCGGGGGCGGGCACAGGGTGGACAGAAGCTGCGGAAGCCTGGGTCCCCTTGGCTGAGAATGGCAGGGAGAACTGGGCTGCTTCCTCCTGCCTCGCGTCCAAGAGGGATAGACAGGCAGCCGAGAAAGGGCAGCGTGTCATGTCGGCAACACCACAGGGGAGAGGCAGGGATTGTATAGAGCACTCTGTTGCCACAAAGTCAATGGCCAAAACCAGCAAAGCTTCCCCAGCTCGGTGTCCTGAAGGGCAGAAGGCCCACCCGGGCTCCTGGTTGAAATGGTGACAAAGTTGGCTACTTCCTAAAATGATCTGTGTCCACGTCTCTCCGGCTCCCAGAGCCGTGGGCAGCCTCCCTCCCCATTCCCAGCCCAGCTGCTGTGACTATATCGTCCGAAGAGCAGCCGAGTCCCTCCTCCCAAGCTGCTCCACATGGAAGAGTCATTCAACGGTCGGCAATGGCAGCCTCGAGTCCTTTCCTGCTGTGTGGGGAAACAAGCCTGGGTTCCAGGACTGGAGTAGGGTACCCGCAAGAGCCGACTCTGCTGGCTACTCCCTGGGTTCTCCTCCCTCTCCTTCCTTTTCTCTCCTCTTCTCTCTCCTCTTCTCCCATTCCTCTCTTCTTTTCTCTCCTTCCTCCTCTCTCATTTTCCTTCCTCTTTCTCATCCTCCTCCTCTCTCTCCTTCCCTTTCCTCTCCTCTACTCCTCCCCATCCCTTCCTTTCCCCACCCTAGAGGGGCCAGCATTGAGACACAGTGAGAAGGTTGCCGCAGAGAGAAGTCCAAGAAAACCCCACCTCATACCTTGGCACCTGTCCTCAGACTTGTCACCTCCAGGGGCCTAACGGGGGACAGAAAGGCAGGGTAGCTGCATCTTTATCTTTCCAGCTATTCTCCTGCTGGATGGGACTGTGTGCAAAACTCACCCGTCCCCCCAGGTCCTGGAAGTACCTAGCTAAAGCTGCCCCCACTCCCCAGATGTAAACTAAGGAAGCCACAAAGTCAGACTACAGAATACAAAATACACAAAGTTCCCATCCCAGTCCTAACCCAGCCAATGTGACCCAAGACAGATGCCCATTATTAGGCAGTTCTAATCCAAAACACAAAGCCACCCTTCCTAAGACAGCACAAAAGCCCCAAAAGTGACAGGACAAGCAGAGGCCAGGGACGGGAGGGCGAACCCTTACTTCAGTCCGCACAGACTACGAGGGAAAAGGGAAGATGGTTGGCCTCCACTGGTCTCCGCAGCAGCGCATGGCCACTTCTGATGGCTAATGTCATCCAGTGATGCCTGGGTGTCCACTCCCTTTCTGGGCACTGTTGTTGCCATGGTTACAAGTGCAGATCCAGCTCTCAGCTCCAAGCTTGAAGAGTCCTGCCCCTGGCTATGGTGGCGGTGCCGACAGGCTGGGTGAACAGCTCTGCTTTGCCTCATATGCTGGCCGCTGGCCTTTCTTCCATCTGTAGCCAACCAAGATCTGGCCTTTTGTTTTGACAACACCCCAAGGCCCAGTTCCCAAGTGACAGTGTCCAGGCCAGGCTGCCAGGAGCCAGCCACCACTAAGCGAGCACGCCACTCCTCCGGGACCTCCGTTTTTCCTCTGAAGCAGAGCAGGACCCACCATGCTAGCCACTGTGAGGACCAGCTAAAACACCTTTGGAGGCAAGCTGGCCCTGTGATGTAGAGGCTGTGGTCCCCTCCCGGTGGCCTGTGTCCTGAGTAAAAAGAAAGGTGGCTGAGAGCTGCTGTTATCCCAATGCCAGGCTCGCACAGTCGTGGGATTTTGCTTTGGCAGGGCCTGGACATCCACCCAGAGGCCCTTTCCAAAGCAGGGGCTTTCCCCCGGAGCCCATCACACAGGAACTCAGGTCAGGGTCTCCTCAGCCTGTGGGTACAAGGCAGAGGGGTCCACTCCACTGCAGGTTCAGAGAGCTGCAAAAAAAGCTGTCCTCAGAATCCCAGCTGCCTCTGGATGCCGGAAAAGTCAGGGAATGGATGCTAATACAGACACCCCTGAGCAAGCAACAGTCTTTAGGGGCTGGGAGTGGGGGGGGCAACACTCCCACAGGCACACCCTCCCAGGAATGAGGGAGGGATCCCAAGTGCAGATGCTTGTGCCCAGAAAGGAGGTGGTACCGGTGAGCGGTCCCTAAGCGAGTGCATGCAAACACATGTGCGTGAACATGAATGTGACATGGTGTTTGGCTGGCTTCTATGTAGTGAAAATGTGTGCGCATGTATGCATGCATGCGTGTTACCTCTGCGTGTGTGTGTGTGTGTGTGTGTGTGTGTGTGTGTGTGTGTGTGTGTGCAGACTTCGGAAGCTGGTGGGCCCTGCTCTGCCTACACTGAGGGTTCCCTAGGAGAGACATGTCAGACTGCAGGGAAGGCAAACAGACTGACAGGTGATGTGAGCACTCCAGGGTCTTTCAGCCACATTAGCTGGGATCTGACCTGGAGAGTGGAGACTTGGTATGGGAAGGTTCCAACGCAGGAAAGCGTTATCCATTGTCCACCCCAGAACCTGAAGAGCAAGACAGGTTAGGAAGGAGGTAGGGCTAGCCCAGGCTGGTGGATAGATACCAGGCTATCCCCAGGCACATGAGTCTCCAGGTAGGGCAGCTGGGAACAGCAGTGGGAAGGAGGTTGGTGGGGCCCGCGGGCACCCGTGACCCCGGAGCAGGGGTAGGAAGCTGTGGGAGGTGACAAGTGTCACTAGAATGTGAAGTCCATGAGTCATGGCCCTTGAGATATCAAGTCCTGAGCCTGGGATTCCCCAGATTCCGGAGATTTATCTCTGACATGGCCCTAGTGTCGCTTGTAAGCCTGTGGTTCCTCACTGCGTGGGAACACCCACACTGTGACGATCCACACGCTGCTGGCCCAGCCTGGAGGCCACACTGAACACTTCTCTGGAAGTATGCAAGGATATGAGGGTGGCATTCTGACGGGGAGTGTTTACCAAGTTCCTCGGTGTGGCGCCCCGACGTGGTCAGACGGAAGGTGCCATGGTGCAAGCTGGCTCCCAGAATCCCTGAAAACGTAATGATCGCCATGATGCAGCTCTAACAACCAGCTGGAGGAGCCCTCCCAGCTGTGAGGACCTGCAGATGCTGACAGGGCTGTGAGGGACAGGGGTCAGCTGGAGTTGAAGACACAATCCCCGTCAGTGGCTTTGGGCACAGAGAGCTTTATTTGGGGTTCACAGAAAAAGGCTGAGAAGGGGACAGATCAGGTTCAGAGCTGAGCTTCCAGGAAAGGCAACTCAGCAGCCAGCCATCCTAGGTTTCTGCCTGGCTGAGAGCTTCCACGGGTCCAGAACATTCCACCTCGGTCTACAACTTACCAACCCCACCTCTGACCCCACCCAAGGAACTCAGCTTAGGACCTTGTCTTAGGAAACCACATGTGCCTAGTGGGAGGGAAATTCCCAGAGGGGCCGGTGGCTGGGACCTAGGGTGGTGAGTTTATACTGATGGGGTGGGGGATGACACTGAGCCCTGTGGCACAAACTGCCTGCTGTATCTGAGAAGTATTTGGGCACCTCTGTGTGGCAAGGTCCCACTTGCCAGCCAGAGTCTGGGGAGTGGCTGACCCAGGGTGTCTGGGATCCAGAGGGTCTGTGCAGGGTTGGGGAGGAAGAACTTCTCATTCAGGGACAGAAGGATGGTGAGGATCCAGGGAGAAAGAGCATCTCAATGCACCCTCCCCCGCCAGTCTCCATCAAGGGAGTCCAGCCTCATGCTGGTCGTGGAAGGGGAGAGCAAACACAGGGAATGGCATAGCAGGGAGATGGGACTCCAGAGAAGCAGGGTTGGAAGCCTGGATGAGCAGGAGAGTGCAGGGGTCTCTGGTGTCCTCACAGGAGGAGGGGGCGTGCTCTCTCCACACAGACTGTCCCATGCCTCTCTCTCCAGCAGGGACTGTGCAGGAGCCCCGTCAATGCACAGCCAGGTAGGGCCAAGCCCTAGGCTAAGGGCAGCAAGCCTGGCAGTGAGCTGAACAGCCTGGGAAGGAATCCTACCCCTGCGATTCCAAAGGGTCCACTGGCTGATTCTGGGACAAGAGCAACAGAGGAGCCCTAGGGTACTGACCTCACCACCCAGCCTCCATCCATTCTCTCTCCTGACCTGGTTATGTCAATGGAACAGACCTGAGGGACAGCGGCAGGCTCCTGACACAGGGCCTCCCTACTATGAAGGGTGGTGCAAGGGCTGCCGGGGCCCAGCTACCACCTATGTGGTGACACCAGCCCAGAAGCACACACATCACACATCACACCACACAATGAGCCATATCCTCTGCACCAGCTCCTCCCAGAGCAGGCGCCAGGTTGGAGCTGTCCCTGTTCATGGAGCAGATGCAGTCACCTCAGCACCGCCACAGCATCGGGATAGCAGCACCCAGTCTCTCATCCGAGCCCTCAGCTCTGGTGTCTCAGCCTCTTCACCTTGAAACAGGTGAAGACCACTCAGCCCTCAGCACCTGTGCCTCCACCGAACACTTAACTGGACACCATGTGTTGGCCATGTCCATGCCGTGCGGGCCAGTCAGAAGTCCCACTAGTGCATGGTGTCCCTGAGGAGGCTACCTCACAGTTCCAATTCTCACGGGAATGGGAATGGTGTTACTAGGCCCTGCCAGAGCCTGACCCCTGCAGCCCTGCAGACAGTGTAGCTTGGCCCAGTGCAGTGAAGGAATCTTGGCCAAGGGGTGGGCAGGATCTGAGCTCATCCAAGCCTCCAGATTAGCACTCCACTCATGGTGCACATGCTGGGCGTGGTGGCCCCTGGACCACCAAGTGAGCACTCCGCAGTGGGGCGAGTCTGGAATTCACGAGTGTTTCTTTTTCACATACTTCTACAGCTGACAGTCATTTGGCCTCAGGTACCATGTCTCGTGGTGACAACTGTGGGCCACAGTGATGTTAAAACCAGGCCAGGCCCCAGACACAGTCTCACCTTGTCCCTGCAGATCACAAGAGAATTTGCAACACAAACGGAAGCCACCACAGTCGATTTGTGCTTGAAGAAGCTTCTAGACCCGACACTCAACATCCACACAATCTACACTCATTTGCTTCTCCCACGGACTCAACATAGCTTAAGATAACAACACTTATACAAAAAGACAGTAATAATAAAACTGGAAGTTAGTCAAGTAGGTGGCTGTAACATCTACCCCTGAACGCGAAGTGATAGTGGTAAGAAAGTGGATCAATGAAGTAACTCTGGGATTTCAGCGAGGTCAAAAGAGTTCTTGTTGCTGGAGGAAAGCAGTGTCCTGTTGATTGGCATGGAAACCTCAAACACCAGTCCCTCCTCCTTGGAAAAAGCTGCTTTAGATTTCGGCAGTAGAAAAGGCACAGGAGCCGCTGTGATTGACAGGCTTCCGCTGGCCAGGCACAGATGGGAGTGGCAGAAGCAGGAGAGGGCCTTAGGTTGTCTGGCAGCCGACACCGCCATGGCGAACCCACGCTGGACCTTTCTCATGTTTCCACATTTCTCCCCGCCTCGGTCGACTGAAATTTTGGCACCCGGGCAACTCAAGTGCTCCCGGAACAAAGGTCAACGCAGGCCAGTGCAGGCTGTTCTTTGCACTGACCTCTCCAGAGAGGCCTAGATTGCCAGTGCTCTGCTCTGGGAAAGGGCAGCATCTCTGTGTTCAGATGTCGTGGGAGGGCAAGGGTAAACCGAGTGAGCCATTCCCCAGGGGCAAAGCTGCTGGTGCCTCTGACTGACAAGGCTGCAGCCCTCCTCCCCACCAGGGCCCCATCCCGTGTGCTAGAGTATTCACTTTCCCACAGCACCAAGTGAAAAACAGTGGCAGATAGGTCAGAGGGGTCGCCGCAGACCTACACCACAAACAGCCTGGGTCTTAGGTGCCAGCTGAATCCAGCCCTGGCAAGGTATTCCATTTCTCCAAACCTCAGTTTACCTACCCATTAAGACGGGCAAATCCCCTACTGCGTGGGCAGTGGCTGCAGGGACCAAACGCCAATGAAAGTGCTTTGGGGGCTATGTAGAAGCAGCTATAGTGCACCCCCCTGGGAACACAAGAGCACCATCACCTCCGCCTGTAACCATGGCAGCCAGGCTCAGTGGCCCACCGGAGGCAGACGCTAGGGCACAGGGCTGAGAGGCTCCTTGGAGACCGGCGCACTGGGCAGGGACTTCAGGTACTCCAGGTGTCGCCTGGCATCCTCCTGGTTGTGGCGCACGTAGTACACGACATAGGCAATCACCATAGTGAACCAGCAGAACATGGTGACCAGCATGGCCACATCGGTGGTCTTCCGGTGGGTACTGCAAAAGCTGGCACCCGAGTCCAAGACTTGGATCAGCGGCTTCCCCACAAACTGCTCCTGTGCCGAGGTGTGGCATGCAATTTCATCCACGGAGTCAGGGTCCAGTTTCAGCTCCCACAGGGCCTCCTGCAGGGCACACTCACAGTGCAGTGGATTGTGGGACAGGCGGATCTTGGCACTCAGCTTGCCCAGGGCGTCCTTGGGAATTCTTCGGATGCGATTGTGGGATAAATCCAGAAGCCGCAGGCCCCCGGCCAGCCCTGAGAAGGCTGCAGGCCCAATGGCCTCGATGGCATTGTGGGACAGGTCCAGCTCCCTCAGCTGCGGCAGGTTCTGGAAGGCTCCATTGGGGACTCGGGAGATTCTGTTGGCATCTAGCTTCAGAAGCACCGTGTCCACTGGGATGTCCCTGGGGATCTCCTGCAGGCCTTTTGAGCTGCAATGGACAGCCACAGCCCCAGCATGGGCAGGGCACTGACAGGCCTGTGGGCAGGAGGCACCTACGCGCAAGCAAAAGAGGATGAGGAAGCAAGACCCCTGGGAGGGGGCCAGTGGAGAGGAGGGGCTCTGCCTGCCCCTGGGGCCCATCTTGCCGCCACCTGATCCAGGTGGCTCTTCTCTGCTGGGATCTGCAGGTGAGTGTCCTTCCCCTCGCGGTAGGCAGTCATCCAACACAGACTCTGTGTCCTCACCTAGAGGAGAGCCTAATGTTCTCGGGTCTACAAGAAAAAAAAAAAAAGAGGTGGGGGTGACCAGCACCGTCCATTACCGCCCATCTGGGAGGATAGAACCAGGGAGGAAAGGCGTCATAGACGCACCAGGTTTGAGGCTCTCACACATACCTTCTTTGTAACTTACTCTGGAAGATTCCCAAGGCCAGCTAAAAAAGACAACTAGGGCTGACCACTGGCTAGAGACCGGCCCTAGCGAGGTGGTTACAGAACCCTGCCCTAACCCTGGTCACCCACCCATAGCTGGGGACCCAAGTCTGGGCGAAGGCCCGGGGATCCATCTCTCTCGCCCCTCCCCCAACTTCAGGCAAGTGTTTGGCGGAGGGCTTCCCTCCCGATCTGCGATCTGCCTGCCAGGTCGGGCGGGGCAGGTGGCCGCGTGAGCCTGTTTGTCCCTGAGCACTCGGCTACCTGAGACACCTTAGAGACTGCGGTCATCAGTAGAGCTCGCCAGGCGCTCCGAAGCAGCAGCCCCACGCCCGCAGCGGAGAGGAAGCAGCCCCCCGGCGTGCAGCCGGGCTGGGCGGGGAGCGGCGGCAGAGAGCAGGGTGGCAGGGCCGGGACACCGGAGCTCCGCGGGTGGGAGGCCAGCCGGGCGGGTGTGGGCTTTGCCTGAGCGCCTGTGGCGGCAAAGAGCCTTCCGAGCTTCCCGGAGCCTGACCAGAGCCCTCCCTGCGCCGCGGCGAACCGCCCCGCGCCCACCCAATGGCCAGTAGAGCACAGAGGCTGGCAAGCCGGGGCGGGAGGGGCGGGGGCCTTTGAGATAGGGGCGGGACCGGCAAGAGGAGGGGCAGGGTGGTGGCAGGGTCTGGAATAAGAGGGGGGCGAGGCTAGAGGGGCGTGGTTTTGAGTGGTTGGGGGTGGGGCCTCGAGGGGAGGGGCCGGGCGGAGAGGGGCCTTGCTATAGGGGTGGGGCCGGCGAGAAAGGGGTCCTGATGGGGGCTTTGGTGTTGTATGCATTAGGAGAACGGGGCGGAACCTGTTCTGAGTAAGAGGTGTCAGATAAGGGCGTGGTCTGGGTGCTGAGGGGCGGGGTCTCTGAGGGCGGTCCTTTGAGAGGGGTGGGGCCTAGAGGAGGGGCTGTGTAGGAGACAGTCCTGTTTGAGGAGGGCCAAGGCCTTAAGGGGAAGGGCCAGATAGGTGAGGTTCTGGGTAGGTGCTGAGACCAGGGAGGAAAGGCTGAACGGAGTTCTCAAAAACGGTAGAAGACGGGGCCAGAACACACAGAGGGGACACTGGGGAGGGGGGGAGCAGGGTTGTGGGCGGAGTTCTGTGTGAGGGGCGGGGCCTGATGTGCGAACTGAACTGACTGGGGCGGAGTCTGGGCGGGGCCTGAGAGGGCATGGGCGGATTGTTGTTTTTTTTTTTTTTTTTTTGGTTTTTACGAGACAGGGTTTCTCTGTATTGTTTTGGAGGCTTTTCGGTCCAGCCTGGCCTCGAACTCACAGAGATCCGCCTGCCTCTGCCTCCCGAGTGCTGGGATTAAAGGCGTGCGCCACCACCGCCCGGCATGGGCGGGTTTAAGTGTGGTTTTCTAGGGCATTGGTAAGGGGCGTGTCCGACGACGTGCCACGTGGCCAAGCCCGGCCCTGAGCATCCCCACTGCCTGACTGATGTCCCTCACCCCAAACCTCAGGTCCAAGGTGGTGGCATCCTAGGAAGGCAGATAGGGGCGTCGTGCTGGGACCTGATCCTCAGCTCCGAACCTGTCATCCCCGGCCTCAGAAGGACCCCAGTCTCCCTTGGTCGACTGCCTTCCTCAGACCTCGAAGTCTGCCTTTCCCTCCACTTCTGGAAACGGCCTCCTGTCACATAGCATCTCTTTCGGCCTCTTCAGTTCCAGGTTCACCACGCTGAGTGGCTCTTGAGGCTGTGGTCCTCCCTAGGTCCAGTGTGCAGTTTCTGTGTCTGCTCACCTGCTCAGCTCCGCCTGGTTTTGATCTGGGGCTCTATCAGGAGGGCAATGGAAGCACTGTGCAGCAGCCTTGAATGAATACGCTGAAGAGCATGGCTGGAGCATGTTTCTCTTCTGGTTCCGTGTCATGCCCCGCTGACAACACAGATACACGGCCAACACCTGACGGCCCAGAGCCTCTGACTGGAGACACTCTGGGTGTGGAGTGGTGGCTTTACCTGTGGGTCTGTGTTCCGCCAGAGGTTTATGGAATGGCCTGTTTCCTGTCTGCTCCATCACTGCGTTTAGTTGTTTGTTTTCCCTAATCTCCAGTTGTGAGAGTTCTTTGGAAACACCCTTCTCAGACACATGGTTTGTAAACACTGTTCCTCAGTCTGTGTGGACTGTCTCTATTCTCCTGACAGTTTTCCCCGCAGGTTTTCATTCTGAGGGAGTCTAACTCAGCAACTTTCTTTCTTTGGAGGGTTATGATTTTGGGTGTCATTTGTAAGATGTCTTTGCCTGAGGTAAAGCCATGGGGTTTTATAGATGCACAGATCTGCACTGGAGTCTGGGTTTGAGTTGATCTGGGTGCATGGTGTGAGGCATGGTATATGGGAAGCCCATTTTGTCTGGGTGTTGAGAGGACCATCCTTTTCTCGAGTTTTCTGGGAGTATATTGGATTTTGTTTTTACAAGTCTGTTAACATGGGATTATAGCAATAGATCTTCAAGTCTTAAATTGGACTCTGGGGATGAAGCCCACTTACTCATGATGTTATGGTCTTTGTATGCAGTTGAATTATCTAGCACATTTGCAAACGTTGAGTTCCCTTAACCTAATGTTTTGTATCACTCAAGAATGTTTCCGGCTCATCGAGCTGTGGAGTAGATGAGTTTATAATACACCCCTATAGCCCTTTCAGTGTCCATGAAATGTGAGTGACTGGCGCTGTTCGCATGTATGACTCCCCCAGTGCCCTGCACTTTCTCTCTGATAATTCAGGATAGACATGTGTTGGTTGATTGTTGACCAACCCGGAGCAGCAGTTCTGGGTTAAGCAGCTTCTCCACTGCTTCCTTTTCCAGCATGGGCACTCCCTCTCGTCCTTCTGGAACTTTCTCTGTAGACCAGGCTGGCCTTGAACTCATAGAGATGCCTCCCTCTGCCTCCCAAGTGCTGGGATTAAAGGCATGTGCCACCACCACTAAGCTAAAATAAAATATTAAAAAGTAAATTTTTAAAAATTGTTGATTAGTCTGCTGTGTGTGTATGTGCGTGTGCCCTTGCACATGCCTGTGTGTTTGGATGTGGGGGCGTATGTATGCTTACATGAATGTGTGTGTGGACACATGTGTGTACACATGTAGACTGGAAGTTGATGTTGAGTGTCTTCCTCAGTCTCCGCCTTTGTTTTTGAGACAGTGCCTCTCATGTAACCCAGTGCCCACCAATTTGCCTATTCCAGCTGGCCAGCAAGCCCCAGGAATCCCCCTGTCTCTCTGTCTCTGCCTCCCAGTACTGAGATTATAAGCACAAGATGCTGTGCCTGGCTCTTTTAACATGGGTGCTGGGGGTTTGAACTCAGTTTCTTCTGCTGGTGCAGCAAGCACGTTACCAGCTGAACTGCCTCCCCAGACCACCAGAGTCTGTTTCGCTCGTTTTGAACCCTTATGTTCTGACCACGTGTATTCTTGACTAACTGACCCTATTGCCACTCCAAATTGGTCCTGTGTATCCCCAGAAATCCCCCCTTGTATGCTGTTAATACCATGACAGCTTCCTTTGGTTGAGTTAGGGTAGTGGTCCCCTTCTGTCCCTCCTCATCGCATATTGGGGCTCTCTGTTTCAAGCTACTTCCTTCAGGGTCCCACCTCTCTAAGCCAATCAACTCCAAAAGTGAAAAAATTCTGCAGTGGAGAAGGTGCCGTCTATGTGGCCATATGTGCTGGTTGCTCTTCTCATTGGCAAACAACATGACAAGTGACTTACAGGAGGATTTATTCTGGTTAATAGTTTGAGGTGCCCATCCACATCCCAGAAGGCAGGATTTGCTCAAGACTTGCTTGCTCCCATCTTAGAGAACTGGGAAGCAAATGACTGAATGGTGGCATTCAGCTGCCATTTTCCCTTTTCCTCTTTTAAGTTTCTAGCTTGTGGGATGGTGTCACCTACCCCCAGGTGGGTCTTCCTACGTCAGTGAAACCCCTCTAGAAATACTCTCACAGACCTGTCTAGAGGTATTCTTCAGTCTTCTAGATGATCCTAAGTCCAGCCAAGTTTACAATGATTAGTCATCACCCAGGGTGTATGTCTCTAGTGAACAGACAGAGGCAACCCAGCAAGAAGGGCACAGCCCTGTTCTGGTGATGTTGCGCAGCTGTGGGAAGACAGCAGACACACTCAAACTGAACACAGTCTCCAGAATGACAGGACGCTCAACCAAGAAAAGCTCACTACAGACAGCAGAAGTCTGAACCTAAGAAGTCATCGAAAACTGGTCTGCCTCAGTGTGATGGGATCCAAAGACAAAAGACAGCTATGAAAGATCCAGAGAAACTGAGCCAGGCTAGACTGTAGCTGTTTGGCCTGGGTCTCTCCTGGCATTGCCGTCTTGGTTTGAAGGGCAGCTTGGAGGGAGAAGGGCTCTAAGCAATCTCTCAACACATCTTTGGTTCCTCATCTCCTGGGTTTTCTCATCTCCTGCCTTCTTGGACGAGGCATTTGGGTCCATAACTTGAATGTTGGAGGCTTAGTCCTGGTCCATAGCATGGTATTGTTGGAAGGCGGTGGAACCTTCAGGAGGTGGGACTCAGTGGAGGGGAGGTCTTGTCATTGCGATGGTGATCTTGAAGGAAACAGTGACCTGCTGGTGGACATGTGTTTGGGTGGGTTTGGTTTGGTTTGGGTGGGTTTGGTTTGGTTTGGGTGGGTTTGGTTTGGTTTGGGTGGGTTTGGTTTGGTTTGGTTTGGGTGGGTTTGGTTTGGTTTGGGTGGGTTTGGTTTGGTTTGGGTGGGTTTGGTTTGGTTTGGTTTGGGTGGGTTTGGTTTGGTTTGGTTTGGTTTGGGTGGGTTTGGTTTGGTTTGGGTGGGTTTGGTTTGGTTTGGTTTGGGTGGGTTTGGTTTGATTTGGGTGGGTTTGGTTTGGTTTGGTTTGGGTGGGTTTGATTTGGTTTGGGTGGGTTTGGTTTGGTTTGGTTTGGGTGGGTTTGATTTTTGCTCCCCTATGCTCACCCCACACCCATCCTTGCTATCAGTACAAGCAGTGACTCAACCTCAGGACACAGGGTGGCCAAGGGGCAACCAGGAGCAGAGCCCGCTGCCTTTTTCTCAACAGCTTGGACCAGATCGAGCCTCCTCTGTACCACTGGAGTCCTTGTTTCTCCCAGAATTCCTAGATCTCTTGGGATTCCTGGATCTCCAGGGCTCTGTGGTTCCTCCAGAATTCCTGGCTTTCTACGTTGTTTTGAAGCCTGAACTGGAAAAAGGACATCTCCCCCCACCCCCCAACCCCCACTCCCCAACCCAAGACTGTATCCTCCCAGCTTCCATGGAGTCACACAGCAGCCCTCCCTGGGGCTGCCTGTCACTTCCCAGAGATCCTTGTGTCGCTTGGCAGGGAATGTGAATCAGACCACCTCCCTCTAGCCCCGCCCCCTTCCTGGGAACCAGGCTGTCTTCACTGGCTCAGACCAGCTCAATATGTGTCCCCTGGTCTACTGGGACAGTCCCTGGCCACCCCACAGCTTGCATGCTTTCTTTTGTCCCCAGTGGTTCAAACTGAGTCCTGGGCTTTTCCAAGGTTAATTTTTAGATAGATTGATCACACCTGTTGTAGAATGTTATTGTAAGGCGTGTTACTTTTGTTTATGCTCTAGAACATTTGTTTAATGATGCAAAGATGTGTTTGATTAAATAAACTTCACCTGTAGTCAGGAAGCTGCGTCAGCAACTAGCTGACAGGAAGTTGTGGGGAGGAGCCAGGTGGAGAAGGTTCATAAGGAGGGGTGAGACCCAGCGGGAGGACTTCTTGGGAGAATTGAGGAGGTATGGTAGGTGAGCTGCTTGCCTCTCTGGGAAGCAGGATTCTGCCTCAGCCTTTGAACCTTGAGTTCTTCAGTGGGACAGAGATTTCCTTAGTAGCTCCCAAAGAGTTGGTACCTGAGGGAACAGAATTCCCTCAGGCTTCAGGTCTTGCGGCCTAGTCGCTGCTGGTAGCGGCGAAGTGGCAGTTGCTGAATAGGATAGCTGTGGCGTTAAAAAACTGTCACACGGAAGGAAGGGTCACTCCAGCAGGCTCTGTTGAATAAGCCATCTGAACTCAGCGCTAGCAGTCAGCTGTTGCTTGCCGGGAGAAGTCACCAGAATTGGTAAGAGATTTGGGGAATTCCTTAGGGGAGTAGGAGAGAATTAGACAACATTGAAAACAAATGTCTGTGTTAAGGATGGGAAACATAACGCAGGGTGCTGGGGCGCTATATAATGCTGCCTTGGGAGGCTGGAAGTTAGAAGCAGAATATCGGGAAAATTTATTTAACTAACACTGATATAATACCGATAATACTATCAATATGGTAATTAACATCAATTATAGTGCTGGTGGTTTTTTGTGCTAAATATGACAAGTGGATTAATAGGATGCAGACCTTGGAAGGATATGCTAATGAAAAGGACAAAAGTGCTCAGACACAGAGGAATTTAGAGCAGAATTTGCCACACCATTGCATTGTGAAACAAGAGGAACGGTCTAAGGTTATTAGAGCTCCAACTTTAATATATCCGGTTACCGTTCAACAGCAACCCCCAGATAATATACATCCCCAAAGCTACGCAGAAGTTAATTGGAATCCTGTAGATATGTTAGACTTAAAGAGAGTTAAGGAAGCAGTAGTTTCATATGGTAGGCATTCACCCTTTTTAAGACAGATGTTAAATCCGTGGGCAATTAAGCATAGAATTATTCCATAAGACTGGAAGGATTTAGTTTCAGCTGTGTTGGAAGCTGGTCCACAAATACAATGGAGAACTTGATGGAGAGGGGAATCCAGGGCCCTGGAACAACAAGGTAGGACTAGAGGTCATGAGATTTCCCAAGACCAAATTCTTGGTGAGAGTCAGAAGGCTGCTTTGCAAAGACAGTGTATATTGGAAGATAACACCCTGGTTCTATGCTGTATAGCAGCTTTGAATGCTTGGGACAAGGTTGAAGAATCAGGAAAGGGGATTGAGTCATTTATTAAAATTATACAAGGCCCAAAAGAAGCTTTCACTGATTTTTTTTTGCACAAATTAACATCAGCTGTACATAGCATGATGTCTGATCCAGATGCTAGACAAATATTAATCGAATCTCTGGCTTTTGAAAATACTAATGTAGAATGTAAAAAAGGTGATTAAGCCTTAAAGGGCAAGACCAGCACCCATAGAAGAATGGATCAGACACACAGTTGATGTTGACCCCATACTTCTAATGATGACATTTGGATAGGAGCATTGCTTTCTAAAAATATGAAGAAAAACCAAAATGTTAGGTGTTTTAACTGTGGTAGACAGGTCACATGAAAAAGTGTTGTAGGCAAATTGCTCTTAGAAATAATGTTTATAATAGAAATAATTCAAACAGAAGGCCCCAGCCTTTCGGAGTGTGCAGAAGGTGTGGCAAAGGCCAGCACTGGACTAATGAATGTAGAGGAACAAGGGACAGGCAAGGGAACCTTTTGCCATCTGGGAAATGCCTCTCACAGGCCCCATTGTCAAATGTAGTTCAGTCATTTCCTGCCAGCATTGGGAAAAACCCTCCACAAAACTAATGATATAATGCCTGTTGTTAAAAACCATATGACTCTGAATGCCAGAGCACCTTTAGAAAATAAAAAGAAATTTTCAGAAGAAACCATAAAGCAAATATTTTGGCAAACTTCTATAAATGATCAAAGGCCAAGCTTAAGAATACAAATAAATGGCATAGAACTTCACTATTTGGTAGACATGGGTACAGATGTCACAATAATTGCACCAAAATCATGGTGTACACGTTGGCCTCTTCTGCAAGTAAATGTTCAGCTTTTGGGGATTGGCAGCTTGTCTCAAGTAAAACAAAGGGCAAGATGGGTTGAATGTATAGGACTAGAAGGATAGATAGGAAAACCGAAACCATATGTGGCTAACATAACAATGAATTTAAGGGGATATGATTTATTGCAGCAGTGGAAAACACAGATTAATATTCCTCCAATCCCAGAAACAAACTATAAAATAAGGGAAGCCTACAAGAGAAATATTAAAAGATACTATCAAGGACAGTCACAGACCATTAAAGCTGTACATAAGCAGGGAACAAAAGGTGTTGGTATTTCAAAGGTACCAATCACACTACCTTTAAAACAGTTGACCAACCAACCTGTTTGGGTGGAACAGTAGCCTTTGGCGTTGGAAAAATTACAGGCCTTAGAACAGCTAGAAAAGGAGCAGTTAAATGCTCAACATATCGAAGAATGAACCAGTCCTTGGAATGCTCCTGTATTTCTTATTAAAAAGAAATTGGGAAAATGGAGGATGGTAAAAGACCAAAAGCCATAAATAAGGTGATTTAGCCAATGGGATCTTTACAGCCTAGAATTCCCTTGCCTTCTTTATTACCTAAGGAATTGCCTATTATAGTGATTGGTTTAAAAGACTGCTTTTTTACTATACCATTAAAACAACAAGATAGAGAAAATATTTGCCTTCACAGGGCCTACTTATAGTAATTCTGTTAACAGGTATCAATGGAAGGTTTTCCCGCAAGGGATGTTGAACAACCTCACCCCATGCCAATATTTTATACCACAGCTATTAGAAATAATTTGTGTACAGTTTCCTTGATCTATAATTTACAACTATGAGTGATGTCTTACTAGCCGATTCAAATGTAGATACTTTAGAATGTTTGAAGAAGTAAAGAAATTTTGTCTTGCTGGGGATTACAAATTGCTTCTGAAAAAAATTGATTGCTTAGGGTATAAAATAGGACTACAAAAAATTCAGCCACAAAGGGTACAGATTGGGAGAGATCAATTGAGGACTCTTAATGATTTTCAAATATTGCTGGTAGACATTTCCCATCTACAAGCCTCTATTGGAGTAATAACTCAAGAACTGAGTAATTTGTCTCAAACCTTGGAAGGTGGCAAGGACTTAAATAGTCCAAGAGAATTATCAGCTCAAGCTAAAACAATTGGCTTTTGCGGAAAAGAAATTACAGGGTGCTCGTGTGGATCGATTGGATCCAGAGCTTGACTGCATTTTGGTTATTTTACCTTCTATGTATTCCCCTACAGAGATTTTAATGCAGAGGGAATATATTGTCTTGGAGTGGATATTTTTACCACACAAGCAGAATAAAAAATTAAAGACGTAAGTGGAAAAGGCTTGACTTTAAAAGGAAAATTAAGACTTGGTCAATTGACAGGAATAGACCTAGCAGAAATTGTGGTACCCTTTACTAATGCTGAAATTGCTTCATTATGGGCAGAAAATGAAAACTGGCAGTAACTTTATGGGAGAGATAAGTAACAAATATCCAAAAAGCAAGAGATGTCAGTTTATAAAACAGACTAACTGGATTTTACCTCATGTAGTAAAAGGCACCCCAATTTCTATAGCCCCTACATTTTATACTGATGCAAATAAATCAGAAAAGGCAGGTTATAAGTCAGGAAAAGTAAGTGGTTCAAAACCCTTATGATTCAGCTCAGAAATCAGAATTGTATGCTATTCCCATGGTACTATTAGATTTTCCAGAACCTCTTTATATAGTTACTCTCAATATTCAGAAAGAGCTGTCTTACATATTGAAACTGCTGAACTTATTCTAATAAGCCAGAATTAACTTCGTTATTTATATAGGAAATAATCAGAAATAGGAATCATTCCATATATAACATGTATCAGATCCCATATAGGTCTGTCAGGCTCTCTACTACAAGGTAATCATGAAATTGATCAGTTATTAATAGGAAATGTGCTGGTGGTCTCAGAGTTTCATAGAAAGCAGCATGTTAATAACAAGGGATTAAAAAAGGATTTTTCCATCACCTGGAAACCAGCCAAGGAATTTATAAGAAAACGTCCTAATTGTTCCTTGTATAATAAAACTCTCCTACCTACAGGAAGTAACCCAACGGGTATTCAAAAAATGAAATTTGGCAAATGCATGTATTACATTTTGTAGAATTTGGAAAATTAAATTACGAACACTATATAACATAGATACATATTCAGGATTTCAATGGGCAACTGCTTTGAGTTCTGAAAAGACTGATTCTGTAATTACACACCTATTAGAAGTTATGACCATTATGGGGATACCTGTACAAATTAAGACTGATAATGTTCCAGCATATGTGTCTACTAAAATGAAACAGGTTTTTTGCAATATTATGACATAAATTACAGGTATACCACACAACCTTACAGGAGAAGCAGTTATAGAAAGACCTAATTGAACTTTAAAAGAAATGCTTAATAAACAGAAGGGAATAATAAAGACCCCCAGAGATAGATTGCATAACGCCTTATTAACTTTGAATTTTCTAAATGCTAATGAGAAAGGAATGACAGCTGCAGAGAGACATTGGACAGTAGAAAAATTACTGAATTAAATCAGCCTGTGTACTTTAAAGATGTGTTGACCTCTGAATGGAAACCAGGGTTTGTGCTATGTTGGGGATGGGATTTTACTTTTGTTTCCATTGGAGAAGGAAAGGTATAGAAAGCATCAAAATTAATAAAGATTTCATTAGAACATTAGAGGCCTCTTGATCAGGAGAAGTGATAGTTCATCAACTTCTTTTTTTGGGGGGTGGTGTTTCAAGACAGGGTTTCTCTGTGTAGTTTTAAAGACCAGGCTGGCCTCAAATTCACAGAGATTGGCCTGCCTCTGCCTCTCGAGCGCTGGGATTAAAGGTGTGCACCACCACTGCCCAGCAGAGGAGGTCATTTAAGGAAAAAGTCATCAAATTAGGGTCAGGGCAGGGTTTTGTTTTTGTCTTTATAAGACAATAAGAATGCCCATCTTGAAGACATCAAGAACTTTTAGACAGATCGACATCTAAAGAAGGGAGAAATGTCTAGAAAAAATTACCAAGAAAAGAAACAATTTGGCATGATGGTATAATTATTTTCTACATGGCACAATCTCTTCACCTTTTGAAATATTTGTTGTTCCCACTCAATTATAAACCAAAACTGGCTTTTGGAGTTTGGAATGTAGTTCTCTCCTTCTCTAAACCCAAGCATATTGTTAAAAGAAAATTCAGAGTCTCTGCCTTGTATCAGAAGACCACCTGGTACGGCACAGAAGAAAACCAAAATCTAGGGACTACTGCTATCACAAATTTCTTTCCCCTCACGTTTATTTTACTATCTTAAAATTTAAACTTTTCATTTTGATATTAGTAATGTTTAAGCTTTCCACAGTGAATAATAAATTTTCCTAACAGCAATCTCTGGTCTCTAAAAGGATGATGGAACCCCACAACAATTCTGCCTGGATCACAATAATGCCATTGGCCAACATTTCAGTTTCTTCAGGGTGTCAGCGCCCCCAAACAACAGTAATTTTAGAGATTGATTCCCACATTCCTAAGAGGTAGGGAGAATGGAATTTACTCATTTGGTGGGTAATGGATGCAGCCATCATTTATGGGGGCTATTAATTGCTTTTGGTAAGGGAGGAAATTATGCAAATGATATTACATTCAAAGATCTCTTAGAAAAATAGGAAAAGAGGAATATATTAATGACAGAATGAGAGGATAGATTATTGAATCTATTACAAACTAAGGGACAACTATTGATCTTGAATATTGTGTCTGTAAGGATTGATACAAATTTAAGGTTATTTTTGTTACAATACACTGTATATATATTTTCTACTTTTGTTTAAAGTATTTTTGTATATTGATATATTCAATGTACCAATAATAACTTCAAATTTATATGTTTCTACTCTTATCTAAATGGTTTTGTAGATTGATACAAATTTAAGGGTGTTTTGTTACCACATATTGTGTATATGTGTTTCTCATCATTTAAGGTATTGTTCCTATATAGTTTATTTTAAAATGTAAGATAAATTTCTCATTTTTGAAAGCTATTATTATAAACTATATAGGACAATCAAGAAGCACAGGTCATTTATGAGTTTTTGTTGATATGTTAGGTATGTTTTCTAGGTTAAATAGATTTTAGATAGATGGTCTCCTATAGAATGTAACATTTAAAATGTTGCTAAAGATTTTCATGACAATTAGATACATGTGTTCATAGCAACACTGATTTACTTCAGAAAAGATAGTGGGCATTTTCTTTGTCACTGGGCAAAGGGAACTCTTCTTGCCTTTAACTGATGACAATGTGCTGTGCAGGCATTCTGCAGGGGACACAAGAAAAAAAAACTGTTGAACTTTGCCAAAACAGGGCAGGATAGGATAGTCCTTCAAAACTTCCTGCTTCATACAAGAGTCTGTCAGGCATTCTGCAGGACACAGAGGAAAGTGGCTGACAAACTGCCAACACAGGTATGACAGTTTTCCAGCTACTATGGGCCTGTAGGTTTAAGATTGATGCCCCAACATTGTGAAGGAATTTTGGGTGACCAGGCTGTCAGACGTCTGTCTGTCATTTTCAGAGTTTTTGAAAATCATTTGCAATGCACTTTTTTTGCTTACTTTAAATAATACTAGATCTTTCCGGTGTCTCTGAAGGAATTGTAGACTAGATAATTATAAGTGTAGCTTTAGAGAGTAAGTCATATGTAAAACTTCAGATTCAGTAGATAGATGATGGGGTATATTAATTTGTCAGATGCAAATGGACTGGAATTCATTACATCGTGAATGAACTCCACTCCAATTGTTCTTACTGTGTACAGTCTTATTTTAAGGTGTGCTACTTTTGTTTATGCTCTGGAACAGGAAGTTGTGGGGAGGAGCCAAGTGGAAAAGGGTTTATAAGGAGGGGCTAGAAAAATCATGAGGATTTCTTGGGAGATGTGAAGAGGTGAGCTAGGTGAGCTGCTTGCTAATCAACCTCTTTGAGACACAGGATTGAGTTCTTTAATGGGACAGAGATTTAAGTTTCCTTAGTAGCTTCCAAAGAGTTGGTGCCTAGGGAACAGAATTCCCTCAAGCTTCAGCTCTTGTTAGTGGTGGAGTGGCTGTTGAATAGGACAGCTGTGGCGTAAAAGGCAACAACAATTAAAGAAAAACACATACCAGTCCTTTATTGTCCCATCCCTACACAAATCCCTGAGTCATAGGCCACCCTGTCAGAGAAAGCTTATCAGTCTCAATAGTGCATTCCTCTAGAGGCTGTGACATGATGTGTTGTCATCTTCTAGTACTTTCTGTAACCAGCAGGTCAGCTGAAGCTAGGGGATGCTGGCTTGAGTGCTTTCAGAAGAGCACTTCCAACATCTAGGCATGACAGTCACCCAACTCAAAGCCCTCATTGGCTGTAAGTGACCCAGCACTGGCCAGGAGCCTTCTATCTACCTTCTGTCTAGGACGGAAGGCTCCCACAATGAAAATAGAGGTCCCTCCAGGGCATAGCATCTGCCCCCGAGGATTATGGGTAGTGGCAGCATCTTGCTGGACAAGGCCCCATAAAGCCCAAGTCAAGGTGTGGCATCTGAGGACACAGGCACCAGGAGCCACTGAATATACTTCTGTCCTCATGCTGTGTAATCCTCTTGTTGTAACAGAGATGACTTTCAGGACAGCACCTCTGGGTCCTTGTTAAGATCCCTGTGGTCACCCAACCCAGTACCCCAACCTACCACCCAGACCAAGATAAAGCAGTTCAAGTATTGGGGGCCATTGGTGGATGGCCACTCCTGTCCCTGTAGCTTCCACAGTCAGAAGTGAGCTCCAAACAGCAAGGCCACCTTTTGGAGGATAGTCTTGTGGTTCGAATACAGGGGGATGCGTCTATCCACCACCTGCCATTCAGTAGACATCTGCAGATCACAGGTTGACTCCTTTGGACCATAGGTGTACAGGTTCTGCAAGGACAAACAGCCTATGTTCACCCAGCAACCTGAATCCTCAGGCTACAGGGACCAATGCAGCCTACAATATTGTCTCCCCCCATGACCAGCTCACTGTATGACCTAAGATCACCTGCTCTGGGTGCCTAAGCTGGCCCTGTTGGGACCCATAGACCAAAGTAAATGGAGATGTGACCTTGCTCAGAGGCCTCTGTCCTGCTGGGCCAACCTGGATTTCACAGAGTGGGACTTGCCCACCGTGGTTCTAAATCAGCAGTTGGGAGGAACTGCCCTCAGTGCCAGTGTTCAAATGTCCCGTAAAGAGGGCACAGGGAATGCAGAAGGCCATGCCAGCCTCTCTCTGAACATGGTCCTCAAGTTCTCTTGTGGTTAATATTGACGTCAACTTGACAGGATCTAGAATCACGTTGGAGACAAATCCCCAGTCAAGTCCAAGAGAGGATGTCTAGATTGGATTAACTAAAGAAGATCCTCTCGGAACATGGGTGGCACCATTCCCTGAGATGAGGCCCTGGGGTACATAAGAAGGGGGAGCTGAGCTGAGCACCCACATTCTTCCTCCCGACTCTAGCTGCTTCACAATCCTGCTCCTGTGACCTTCCAGCCATGATAGGCCCATGCTGCTTCTCTCAAGTGTGTGTCTCCTCACCAAACCATGTGAGTACAGGCCCCTACTGTGACTCCCTGGCCTCTAGGCCTGGTGCCCCTCTGGTCCCTCCTGGGTGAGTACCTGCCTCAGCCTCCCCACCCATGGGCAGCTCTGTCAAGACCCCAGGCAGACCACCACTGAGAGGGCCCTAAGATGTGTCCAGGGCGTCCCCCGTGTGGAGGCTGCTGTCCTCACACCTCTTCCAGCCTCTTCAGCTCCAAGTCATTCTGGTCCTGGAAATGGATGCTGACGGCCACCGTCTCAATCCAGGCATTGTCCGTGTTCCTTGGGTCATCCACATACCCTTTGTACACCTGGAGGCCAGGACAGGGGTGAGCTATCTGGTCCAGTGATGGGGCCCTGACGCCCCAGCCCACTGTGGGAAGAGCTCAGATCCACAGGGAAGGCCTCCTGGGCCCGGTCTGAACATAGCTGGCCATCCTGTTCAGGCCCCTAACCTGCCCCTCTGGCTTGAGGCTGCCCAATACATGCTTTCTCCCCGACCAGTCTCAGGCCCCTCAGCCTCTAGCACAAGTCAAGCATAGGACCCCGCTGCTTACACTGGGACTCCAGAGACCTCAGCCTCAATGGTTCTGCTCAGGGAGAGGACCCAGACAGCAGAGGTCACTGCTCCATACCCCACTCAAAATGAGAGTTCAGAACAGCAATCCTGGAGATAATAGCAGATGGCCATCCCAGGGCATGGGCACTTTTTTGGGGGTGATGAGACATGCTGAGACTAGACAGGGATGGTGGCCACAGAGTTTTAGGAGTTTAAGTCTCTGGCAGCCCCCTGGTAGGGCTAAGGAAACTTAAACCACCTCCAGGGGAAGGGGGGGATAGCCTAGGCTTTCTCAAAGAGGGTGAGGTGCGGACATCCCTGCCCTGTTTCTGGCTATGTCCATGTTTATCCATGGAGTCACTCCAGATTCATGCTATATGAGTTTTACTCTTAAATTTTAAGAGTGAAAGCAGCGGTGTCCAGTGAGGTCCTGTGCCGATGACAACATCCAAAACTTGGGGGAATTTTAGGAAACGGCAGGTGTTACCAGCCGTCACTCTTGTTTCTAAGACACAGAACGTCTGGACCAACCCCAGAGGGCTGTTGAGATTGCTCATGGTACATGCAGGAATGCCTTAGTCCTGACAAACAGGGAGATGAATCTGTAAATCTGGTCTTCTCGGATGCTGAGAAAAGGCAGGTCACAGACTGCTCATGTCCCGTGTCCGTCAGTAGCACTCGTATCTGTGTGCACGGAGTCTGGCTAGGGAGGGTGGAGAATCCTATAAAGGAGCAAGCATCAGCCCTGCCCACTGATCCAGGATGGCATTGCTTGGCATGCAGGGCTTAATGCACAGGGAGTGGGCCCTACCTCTGTCCCTTGCACCAGCAAGGTCTCAAAGGGCCCCCAGAACTCTTTTCGGAGGATCCATTTCAGCTTCCGTGGTAGCATCTGCCCCGGCTCCCGAGATCCCTGAGCAGAGAGGAGGTGAAGGTCAATCAGCAAGGCATGCAAGCTGGATCCCAGGCAACCCAGGAGCCCATCTCCTCTGGCCACCTGCCCAGTGTAGGCAGCCAGCCAGCCCCCTGGGAAGCCGAAGGCGGCAGTGTCTGTCTAGAATCAGCTCTCTGGCTGTGTGACACTGCCCAGACCCACCATCCGCGTCAGCAATCCACAGCCTGAGCAGGAGTGTGGGACTAACATGGAGCAGGGACAGCCACTGTGACTCCGTGAAGGCAACTGAGTCTACCGCCACCTCCCACCATCCTGGCAACAGAGAGGGACAGGACCATACCCTAATGGTTTGCTTGTCCTCAGTCCCCTCTGCCTGGTCCCTGCTGCTAGGCTCTCAGCACCCAGCCTGGATGCTGTCCTGGCTCTGCAGTCCACTCTCTAGCTTGAAGACCCTGACTGACGCCACTGCCCCATGCCACTATAGGGACGTGTGCTCCTACCAAGGCAGCCATGGGGATAGAAGTCTTAAGAGCAGGACAGCAGTTCAGGAAAACCACAGACCCAGGGAATGGGGAGAGAGGAGGGCATTGCCAGGTGGGCTGCATTGTAGATGCCGTGGGCTAGGGCCAGGCTAGACTTGATCCTCCTCGCAGGACAAGGCTCTCTGACCCCTACTCTAAGCTGGGCCTGGAGGTGTGGGGGGCAGGACAAGCTCATCTTGGGAGGGGTGAGCAATATGGAGTCATACAGGCCTGGGCTGCTGCACACCAATTCTGTCATTACCAAAGAGCCTCCGCAATGCCCTTAAACATCACCCTTCTGCCTTTAGGGTTCAACTCAGAATCTGGAGGGTGGAAAGGCAATCCACGTCTAAGCCAGTACTAAGTCGTCACAGTACTGAGCTCTGCTACCCAGGGAAGCCCGGCCTGGGATACACCAGACTGGGAGCGCTCAAAAGGCACTGCACCGTATCAGCTCACCCAGGGAGGTGGGGATTGTCACTGTCCCTGCCGTGTCTGCGGGTGGCTGGTATTCAGGCAGTGAGTGGGATGGGCAGATAAGGTTGCCTGGCTTACCCCTGGCAAGGCCCAGTACTCAGAGTGAGGCAACTTCATCACCAGCACCTCTAGCATCTTCCTGACACTCTTCCGGCAGATGGCTCCACCCTGGTTCCTCTTCCACCTATATGAGGGACCCACTTACACCTGCAGGGCCACAGGTGCCCTTTGCAGAGGGGTCGGCAGGGCCTGGAGGCAGCGTCAGACCCATTGCTGCCTCCCCCCAGCCCGTACCCCACACCTTACCTCCCATGATCCTCTCCTTTCCCCCCACATCATCTTCCCTAAGTACCTAGACCCCAGGCAGAAGAGAGACAAGCCACAGGGGGAAGTCCATCCCTAGCCTTTGACCCAATTGTACAGCTCTCTGGGCCTGAGAGCCCAGTGCCTTGTTGGGCTCCATGCAGCCTAGCTAGGACCTCAGGGGCTTCTCCAAGTGCAGCCAGTCGGCACTGCCCAAAAGGTAGGCATGGCCCAGGGGCAGAAGCATCATGTGGTTAAAAGGCTTGAGGGGGAACACGTGGGTAGGTACACATCCCCTTGGTAGGAAAACTTCTAAATCTTAACATCTCAGCGGGATTGTGGGTGAGTTTTTTGTAATCTCTATATAACTTTTTCTCTTTAGTAGAGGCTCTAGACAGATTATTAACCCTCTAGTAGAGCTAAGGGGGAACCCTAAGAAACTTAAGCAACTTTTAGGGGAAAGGGGGTAACCTGGACTTTCTCAGAGGGCGGGGCACACAGTACGCATCTGTGTTTTTCCAGACCAATTATCAAGGCCATTCTATAGGTCCTCAGAACACCTGGGGTGGGGGTATCTTCGGAACCAAGGTGCAGATGCCAGGCATGGGACTCACCGAGTAACCACTGGCTGTAGTGTGTGGTTGGGTCCAAACCAGCTGAGGCTCCCACGTCCGCGCAATCCCGTCCGGCCCATGGGGTTCCTAGGTTAGAAAGGATTAACTTAGCGGCTATACCTGATAGATTAGGACAGCACTGGGAGGGGAAATGAGCAGGGATAGGGGCAGGTGGGGCCAGGTCACAATGGGCATAGCAGGGATAGTGTATCAGCTTCTGCCAACCTGTCCTGGGCCCTCTGGGGTCTCCACAGAGTGAACCCAGGGCTCGTGGTCAGTGTGCAACCACCATGACCAGCCCTCCACAGATAGGGTAAAACACCCAGAAGCCTATGTCTGGTGATTGTGGCCACAAATGATGGGTGACTACACTTGAAGCCAGGCTGAAGGGACCAGGCTGTGGTTACAGGGGCTCACTGTACCCCTGGAGCACAGAGGAGTGCCTCTCATAGGCCAGCCCCCTCTTCCCCTCCTGTCCTTCCACCGGACCCCATTCCTAATCAGGTCTAAGAATTGGTGGCTCTCATGACTTCAAAACACAGGGAGACACGCCCCTGTGCTGCCACAGGACAGACACAGCCTCCTCCAATCACTACCCTCCCCAGATCACCACTCCACATTTAACACCTGGCAAGACCCTCCCCGTGGACGGGCTCTGCTTCCTTCGGTAGCTCCTAATGCCCCCTGACTCCCACCCACCCTCCTCTTAGTGCTCAGCTGAGGTCCTAGTGCTCCCCCCACATCACTCAGTGAGTCGGCAGTATTGGGAGGTGGAGCCCTGGTGACAAAGGAACCCAGCTTCCTTTTCCTCTCCTCTCTTGCTCCCCAGCCCTGAAGTGAGCGGCACCCTCTGTTCCACGCACCCTGCCATGATGGGGTGGCCTCCCCACAGGGCCACCAGGGCCAGCTGGTACTGAAAGCTTTCAGACCGAGGCCACGGTGACAGTCCTTTTGTTTCTCGGCTGCTTGTCCTAGGTGTTGGGTGATGGAAAGCTGGCTGGTGCAGCACCTCCCCTGCCTTGGACGAGCCCCCGCCCTGCCCCGCCTTCAGCTATGTAGCTGGTGAGAAACACTCAAACACCGATGTGTAGAAGACAAGAGGACAAGCTTCCTTGTGATCTGCACTTGTCCCCACCAAAGCGCACATCAGATCCACCCTACCATAGATGTGTGGGGCGTTGGGATCAGGTGGGGCCTCCAGGAAGCGACTGCCCTCACAGACAATCCTAGCCTTGTGATACTCTGCACTTGCTCTGTCTCTATCAACAGGAAGGCATCATTGGATTCAAACCCTTGACCTTAAGCCAGAACCATGAGCCAAAAATCTACTTAGTCTTCAGTATTCTATTATGAGCAACATAAAACAGACATAGCCAGTGATTTCACAGATGGAAACATATCCAGGAAAATAGAATTAAAAAAAATACAGTTCGAGTCCTAACTACATAAGTATGTTATATAAAAGGTATTGGGGCTGGGAGATGACTCAGTAGGAAAAGTGTTGGCCATGCAAGCATGAGGACCTAAGTTCAAATCCTCTGGATTTATGTAAAAGTGTGGAAGAACATGCTCCCAGGGGTGACAGGAACATCACTGACTAGCAAGAGAGGGACGAGGGGCAGGGACCCAACCCTTCCGGCCTACATGTGTGTGTGTGCACACACACGACCACCCTGAGCCCTGTCAGGCACCCCTGCTGTTTCTACACAGATGCCATGACAGCAGGGGTGTGCCCCTCATCTCGGCATTGCTCCTCCCCCCTTGCAGGAACGCACCCCACAACTGATGTTAACTCCTAAGCACTCTTCGCCCCATCCATCATGAGGATACCCAGGTAGAGCCCTGGTCTGTTTCATGCTGCCTCCCCTCCGCTGCTCCAAGGACAACAGCCCACTCTGTTCATTCTCCAAAATCTGCCTGCCTCCCCCTTTCCCTCAGGCTCCACTGCTCCCCCTGTTGGCCACATCTCACATCTGGAAGCACAGCGTGAGTCTCTTGCTGTCCTCAAGTACAGATCCCATCACAGATGCTGGCAGGGTCGCTGTCCCTAATGTGGGCCCACCAGCCACACACCCTGGCAACAGAGTGCTCCCCTCGTACCTGACTGTGGTCCCCACTTTACCAACCATGAGTCAAAGTCCCCAGGTACTAATAGACCCGTGTACAGGGGACCTAGCTAGGGTGGACCTAGGAGCCTGCTCAGGAGAGGTACAAAAAAGGCTTTGTACCTTGAGCAGACTCTGAGGAAATGACACAGGTTTCCTTTTCTCTCCTTCACTTTAAGCAGAAAAAGGTGCCAGCTTGCTCAGAGGTCAACTTATTAATGCCAGATGAGGCTGGGCATACTCACAAGGGGAGCCCATACTGGACCACATAGGCTCCATGGGAGCTGCGACGATCCGTTGGTCCATCCACGACGTTGTAACTGATCCTAGACAGAGGTTCTGCCGTGCTGGGGGTAAGGAAGGGAACATGTTTCAATAAGAAGGTAATGGCAGAGCAGAGATACCTAGGGACAGGGGATCTGCCTCCACTGATGGCCCAAACAGTGATCACAGGCCTCTTCTTTCAGAGGGGCCTCTGGCCACAAGTCATGTCCGTTGTCAGGATGAGTTGTGCCAAGACAGGAAAAGCTGCCCCGGGGTCCCTGGGACAAACGAGGCAGAGCATGCCTGGGCCAGGCCTCATGAATTCTGGGGTCCCTCTGGAGAAAGGGCCACTCACTCTCCCACAGGGTCTGTGAGGACCACATCCTTCTTCTCGGCTGTGTAAAACGGAGGGTCGTAGATCAGAAACTCCACCTATAACAAGACAAGTGGGCTTCCTCAGAATTTTGCTACAAATGGGCCCAAGAGCAGTTACAGCCAAGGCCACTACCCAGCTAGGACTAATAACCTCCCCAAGTGTGCATGTATGTCTCTCGGCCCTGGCAGAGCTGAGGAAAAATTCCAGGTGAACAATGGGACCAGCCCAAGCATTGCAATGGGTAACATGAAACCTTCCAGGAGTGGGACATGGGATACACATGTCCCTGGAGGTAAAAAAGGATTCCATACAGAAAGTAAAAAAAAAAAAAAAAAAAGAGTTTCAGCCTGGAATGTTCCAGAAGAACTTAGAGAAAACCTTGGGGGTTGGAATGGCAAGCAGGTTAACAGCCCAGTGTCATTATCCCTGTCTCTGTGTATAGGTCTCTCTTTTATGCCTGGCCCTCAAAAGCGGGGAGTGAGGGCGCTCCCTGGGAACCGATGAATGAAGAACAAGAAGGCATGGATGGGATGAGAGGCCCAGGAGAGCTGAAGTGTGTGAGGAGCTTCAGAAGCGGCCCCAGGCCGTGACGCTACAAGGCCAGGGTGCCTCACCAGCCTCTCCCACATTTCGACTACATGGTTCGTGTGATTTAATCTCATCTGCCAAATGATCGGATGAGCAGAGAGGCTGTAGTGGGCCGAAGCCACTTATGAACACGGGAGGACCTCTTCTCCTGCTCCAGAGCCAAGCCCCTCCCTCCTGCGCTGGCTCCCATAAGTTACGCTCACCTCCCAGGGCACCTTCTCGTTGGGCACAGGGAAGCGCATGATGGGCGCATCCGGGTAGAGAAGGTGCCGGGCATTCACATGGTAGCCGTCTCCTGGCTCCTCTACTTTCTTCCTGCTACTCAGTTCAGCATCTGGCTCATCGAAGGCCCTTTGGGATGCTAGAAACAGACACAGGTTTGAATGCCAGCCCTGAGACCCCACTTCCCATCCCAGGGATCTCAGACACAGAAAGACAAAAAGCTGCTCAGCATCGCCTAGCAGATACCGGCCACTGAAGCCACGCTTTCGTGTCTCAACCGTGAGCTAACCTCACCGGCTGCTATAGGGCCTGTCCAATTAATGAGAGCAAGTTTGCTCCCTGTGGGCCAGTCACACTCAAGGAAGACCGCTCAATGTCCATTTCCTTACCGGCTTTGCTTTCTGTTTTGATTAACATGGTAGTCTCAGTCACCTAGAATTGTTCCCCGCCCTGCCTCCCAACATTGCAGCAAGATGTGCAGGAGGATGTCAAGGAGACACAGCATGCTGCCCCCAGGAATCCAGTAACTGCTCAAGCCAGGCAGAGGTGAGAAGCTAGCCCTGTAGGGCATCAAGATAGCCACAGCCAAAACCCCTCTAAACTGCCTCTCCTGCCAACCCATCCCTCAGACTCAAAACCACACAGACTATTGGAGAAAGCTACCGAGAGACAGTCTATTACTCACCCAGGGTCACGCCTGCCTCTGAGCCAAAGCCGCTGTCCTTCAGGGTTGTCACGATCCAGTGCAAAGCTCTGGTTGTCTGAGCTACCTGAATGGCAAGTATCAAGAATGACTAAGTTGACAGTCGTGGTCCATGCTGCATGTGGCTTATGGCCTGGAGGACTGGCCTCACTCCCCAAGAGACTCAGGCACCCCGTTTGGCCATGCAGCCTCAGAGAACTTGATGTTGGTTCTCTGGCCTCAGTCAAAGTTAAGGTATAATCCCAAGACAGTGTCTCTGAGGTAGCCTTGAACAGAGAAGGGAGCCATGGATACTCTGGGACGGCCAGAACTGTACCGGTGTGGATGCTTCACTCTTCAAACCTGCGAGGGGCTCAGCAGCAGAATTCTACACTAGAATTTTCTAGGGAATAAAGAAGGTTCTCCTTCCAATGAATAATTGTGTCTGTCTCTGTCCCTTTCCCTCTGTCTCTATCTCCCCCCCTCCGTGTGTGTCTGTCTGTCTCTTCCCCCCCCATTTGTGAGTGTCTGTCTGTCCCTCTATCTTTATCCCCCCCGCCGTGTGTGTTGTCTGTCTGTCTCTTCTCCCTTTCTCTGTCTATCTCTCCATCCCGTCTCTTGTTCCCTCCCCCACTCACAGACCTCCATTCCTGCATCTTTTCCACGTGTGTCTGTCTGTCTGTCTCTAGGTCACCCTTTCCCTCTGGCTCTCTCTTGCTCCCTCTCCCACAGACCTCCATTTCTGCATCTTTCCCCCAAAGCTCTTGGCCTCGGTGTCACCACACCACAAAATGCCCCACTAGGCCCCAACCTCCAACATACCTGTTCCTCCAGGGAGACCAGCCTCTGCTCTGTGGAGCCCGACCTCTTCACACGGTCCATGTCCAGCAGATCCACCATGGTGTCCACTCTGATAGAGGACAAACAGACAGGCTTTAAGGACCCTGCCAGTTATAGAAAACATGGTACCCCAGTTGCACACAGCGCCAGCAAACCAGTAGCCGGGGCGTGACATCTCACTGGCTCTCACTTTGATACGTCTCTTGCCCAGCAGAAGGGCAAACCCATGCTCAGTGGCCCATCGGAGGTATCCGCTGGGAGAGGTGACTGCATTCACAGTAGCCTGCTTGTCTAGATCTGCCACCTGGTGCTCTGAGCGCTGTCTCAGATGACAAAGTTTGTGGTGACAGCTGGGATGGTGCAGGTTTGGCATTGGGGCTGTTGGGGAATGTTTGATTTGTACCAGAAGCCCTCTCCCCACCATGGCCAGCTGTGTTTATAGTTAAACTACTGTCAGGTCAAGGCCTGCCTGCCTGCTGCCTGTCTGCTGCCCGTCTGCCTGTCTGCCCGCCTGCCCGCCTGCCGAGCTCTGAGTGGCTTTGCTTCCTCTTCTGTTACAGTGCCAGCCGCTAGCGATGCCCTTCTATAATGAAGTGAACCACACTGCAGTATCTGATTGTGCTTCTGGGGATGTGACCCAATTTAAACAGCCATGCGGGGAAGAGGAGCTAAGGACCACACCGAGTGTGCTGGTGTCTACACTTCCCCCACACACTGTGTTGCTTCAATTCACAAAAGACACTCTGGTGCCCCTGCCGTTTTTTCCAAGACAACCTTGTGAACATGTGAGGGTGATCTTTACAGCATGTGTGGGACCTCAAGGTTCAGACACATACGAACCATCTAGATTGGCAGAAACCCTCAAACCTCCAGCCATACACTGTGGGTGAGGAGTTGGCATCAACTTGGTTCAGACACAGTGCCATGAGCCCTGGCATACCACACAGCAGGGTGTCCCCCTGGGCCCCCAGGGAGAAAGTGGCCAGGCCGTGGTCCTCACCGGGTCTGAGGGACCGCTCACTCTATACTTCACAGCTCCCACCTACTGAATGCATAGGGTTTTGTTGAGCTTCTCGACAACAGGCCATAGATCCTGAAATCTTAGCAGGCTAGATACTATTCCCCCTAGAATGTCTGTAGGACCCATCTTGGAAATGTGCTATATTAGTAATCCTTTCAAGCTCAGGAAATAACTAGAGAAGCCCAACTTCCTCCAGGCCCCAGGCTGGAAACTGGACAACAGATTCACTCTGAGCCTCCTACACGGAGGGAAATCTGGGGTGAGGGCTGACTAGCCTCGGTTTATGTAACTGTCTTCTTCAGGGCCAGCCTAGTTCCCTGAGGCAGGAGAGCACAA